CCGCTTCATATTTTCTGATAAAGTAACGCTGTGCCACAGATGTGCTTCCACCGCGGCCTTGGGAGCATCGCTTGCTCTCAACCGAAAGAACGCTAACGTTTCGGAGGTCGGACGTGACGAGGCCCCCGGAGCTCTGCTGCCAACAACATTCTCAGCAGTGACGGGTGAAAACGTCAACGGTAAAAATAAAAAAAAGGCCAGAAATACCTGCGACTGATTACATGTCCTGTTTCTCACTCATGAATCATTTCCTCCATAAACAAGCATCCAACATCAGGTGATGTTAGCTTAGCAGGATATGAGCAAATGAACACATGACTCACGAAAATAAACACGTTTCCAGGCATTTGAGGTATTCGGCCCAAACAACTAAATCCGTATTGACACCGGCTCGCGTTTTTTCAAGCGAATTGCAGGATGCAGTCGGCTCTGATTTTGGCTTCGGCCGTAAACATTTCCATGCACAAGCAAACACATAGTTGGAATGCGTGTCACTTCATCACGCTGACGAGATGGGAGAGCCATTTGAGAAGAAAAGTGGCGGTGAGGGACCAATAGAACACGCTCGAACAAATTCTTGCTTCCTGCCCTGGCCTGGGCTCTCGGTGCCTGGCATTTTTTTTTTCTCCACCTGGGCGAGGTTGTTCATGCACGGGCCAGCGAGGCAGCCTTGTATTTTCAAACCAAAACAGATCATTTTGATGAATTTATGAGCTGCAGAATTCATGGAAATTAGACTTCCCGGCTCGCCCACACAGCTGCTCGGGAGAAATGACCCGTGCATGCACATTGCGGTGAAAAAAAAAAGACCTGGCTTCTGAACTGAAGCACCCCTGGCATCCAGACTTCGAAGACCACAAGTACTCTCAACTCTCCGATGCCAACGTGTGATGTCATTTCCTGGCTCCCTACGCTGGGCTGCATTGTGGACTATCGGCTAGCGTGTCTGCCTCGCGGCACTTTGGTTTGGGGGTTCAAATTTCATTTCTGTCCTCCCTGTGCATCCGCAGGTTCGTCCTCGCATTTCAAAAACATGCGAATATAAAGTCGTTAAGACACTAAAATGACTTTTGCGTGGTCTAAAACATTTTTGATTGATACATTTTATACACCACAATGAGGATAATCGTTTGGAAAGGTGTTTCCTAAAACGTTGTAACCAACACATACAGCAAAAAGAGCAGCCATCAGCAGGGTTGATAACTCAGTAGTTTATTTTTAACAAAGTTGTCCCGGATAAGAAAAACAAAACATAAACAAACAATCAAGTGCACTTCAACAAAGCCTTGCCCTCCCGCCATGAAGTGAAACAGACAAACGGAACGACACACTAAGGCTTCAGGTGGGCTGTGTCGTTTGGGTCGTCGTCGTCGTCAGCATCAAAGCGGGACAAAGCAGGAGTTAGGCAGCAGACTCCTCTTGTGCGAAAACCATTGAACACAACGAACAATAAGGGGTGTCCGCGCTGGTGTCTGCACTCCACCTGGCCCCCGAACTCCCACTTTGTTACTCCTTTCCGGCACTTGTTTAAAAAGCTCTCAGGTGGGAAAACGTAGCAGGGGGAAAAGGTGAACAAGTTCACACCAGATGAGTTTTCCATGATGTGCCGAGTATCGGTTGTCGGCCACGAGGGGCTCCCAACAAAAAGGAGACTTCAAGCGCAGATGTCCAAATTACACCACGGGAGACTTCACATTTGGACTCCAAAAATAAAATAAAAAAATAAAATAAAATAAATCACAGGAAGTTATCTGGGAGTCAAATGGACTCACAATGTTCGAAAGCAGCACTGTGAATCCATTATAATCACGGATAACGGGCCCGTGATGTCATCGTTTGTCAGAGAAGATGAAGTAGGGCGAGAACTTGTCCCGCACCTTTCCCCACCCAAAACAACGCTACGAAGATCCCCTTACATTCTCCCCAGTAAGCAGTTAACCGAACGTTATTACCGGCCAATATATTAGGCCAGCTTGGACACCGAATGCAGCAATTCACCATTTAGTGCATGTTACATATGACGTAGTAAATATCACGATATACGATTTGACATTCGCAGTTCTGAAACCGACAAGAGCGGAGCACGGCGAGAGCTCCCCCAAAAGTGACGCCGGATGCGCATTGCCGCTCAACAACACAAATTGGAAAAGCGATGCTTTGAATTTTACACCCAGAAATGACTGAGAAGGAAAAAGCGATGGGGTGAGTTTTTGGAACAGAATCCTGTTGGGGTAAATTTAAAAAAAAAATGACATTGATTAGACAGCAGGTGGCAGTGTTGGTTGGTGTCCGCACTTGATTATGGATCGACTGTCAGGCAAATGCTCAAATGTGAAGTAACGATTATGCCGTAGGGGATACGCAGATTGGTCCGTTTTTGCATGATGACTGTTTTAAATTTGGGGTGTTGAGAGGACGACGTCCACTACTGTCAAAGTTTCAGAATGAAACCTAAAATGCACTTTAAACTTCAGAGGTCAACTTTAGTTGACCTTCTCTGAACCGTTGAATGCACATGTTCAACTGTTCAACGTTTCAGGAGATTTTTCCACATCTTGCTGCTCTCCAACAAGGAGCTGAAGGTCAAAATTCACAACAGGTGTTTTTTTTTTTTTTTTTTTTAAAAGCCGCGCAAATGGTGAGTGCTGTTGATGACCAGCAATGTGTCATGCTGCTCTCATGATGTCAAAAATGTGAACAGCATGATGAAGAGGACTGCTTAAATACCAATTCTAATTGAACCAGAAAATGAATCGCTCCATTCACGGAACGAACACCTGTTGTGAATTTTGCCGTTCCGCTCCTTCGAGAACAGCAAGTCGAGCAAAAAATACTGAAACTCTGAATCTGGGATAGTTCAGAGAAGCTCAAATGAAGTTCACCTGTAAGGGTTGGAGTGCATTGTAGGCTTATCCCGATATTTCAACCATTCTATGGAATATTTTGAACCGAGACATGTTATCGTTACAAAATGCAATTATTTGGATAGATTTTGTGGCGGCGAGGCGAAAGAGTCGTCAGCACTTTTGCCTCACATATTTTGAGGTTCTGGTTTCGAATCCTTCACCCCAGCTTCCTCCCATATTCAAAAACCCTGAATGTAGGGCTAATCGAAGACTGTGAATCGTCTGGAGGTGCGAATATGAGAGGGAATGGTTGTCTATACGTGCTCTGCGGCTGCCTCTCGCCTACAAGTCAGCTGAGACTGTCTCTGGCTCGTACGCCAGCCAAATGAGATCAAGCGTGATAAGAAAATGGATGGATGGATGGATTTTGTGTCTGGGGAACCTCAAAGAAGCTTGAAGTAAATAGGCTTTTGGGTATTGATGTTTTGGTGATATTGTATCAGTGTAACGTTTTGTGTGGTCCCCGGGTCGGGATGAGGTGAGGAGGGGGCGGAAGCACGTGACACATTTTTGACAAAGCTCTCAGCTTGTTGAACGAGTGCACCTGATGGTTGTTGCCAAACGCTTTGGACGAACACAACTGAGCGCGCAGCACGCAGCGATGTGTTGGCCAAAGGACAAACAGGGGGAGGGGGGGGTCTCGGGTCAAGCCAGAATCGGGGAGGCCGTCTTGCAACTCCCCACACGCTCAGACGTCAGCAAACGCTGCTGCTGCAGCGCTGAGATGCATCTGGCAGCGTTTAGTTTTGTCTACGTCAAGTGGGGGCCAAGTCTTTGCTGCAGGAACACATTTGGTTGGAAATCGACCAAACAACCACTGCGCTCACAGAACGCCTCCTCAACGGAGCTGCTTTTCGGAGCGTAATGGAAGCACGCCCCCTAGTGGAAGTCCCGTATAGTGCTGGAAAGTGAATCAAAACCCCTTTCAAGCACCTTCTGGGGAAGTTGCCACATAAAGGGGGGTGGGGGCGGTGGGGGGTCACGGTCGCTTTGGCAAAATCGACCCGTTTTGCTCAGCGACAAACAAAGATGGATGCAATGGCATCAGGAGCACGACTGCCACCTGTGTCGCGATGCAGACGCACAATTCAGGATGGCGGATGCCACGGTTGCGGTCGCGGGGGAAAGATTTACATGCACGTCATATTATTTGAATCGTAATATATCGTAGGACATGTAAATGGATGACGGCGAGATTGAGTATTTTAGTCATATAGACGAATATAAAGTGATATATAGAAGACACGCGGACGATATATCGACACGTTACAGACACATTGCTCATACATTCATATATGTCAACACATACAGTAAATACGTATATACAGTACGCAGAGTACGTGTATATATTCATAAGCATGTATTTATACACATAGCAAAGGGAGAATAAATAGTGAGTTGATTGATGAGTGACACACGAGGCATAGCTGACTGTTAATGAACTGACAGATGTCCTTACATTCTATATATACCGTTTAGAAGATGGGGATGGGAGTATTGACATATATTGCAATGTTTCACTGTACACAAATTAAAAAAAAAAAAAATACGTTATGGGATGTGCGAACTGGCAGTGGATAAAATGACTTTCATCACTTTTGTCCCGTGACGCATTTGGAGAGTGTCAAACGGAGGATTCTGGGAGCCGCCGGGGTAGCCCGTGTTTTTTGAAAAAAAAAATGCTGTGAATCCACAGAATGCTTCCGTGCCTCGTGACATCGCATTGTCATTGGCCGTATATTTGACTTTTAGGATTCCGACATTTGCGGCAGTGAAACCTCTCTGAATGATTGTGCTGTCGTTCTTTAACTTTCGGAATCTCGGGAGTACAGAGGAGCATCGGAATGCTTGAAGTAGCTCGGTTCTTACGGCTGATCGGTGAGAGTTTACGGCAGCTCGTCATGGTGATTTTTGAAGGTAAACATGGACATGTGCGTGCAATTTGCGCGGAATGATCTACACTGATAAAAAAAGCATGTTCCAGAATACCCCTCAAATGGGTGCTGGTTTGCAAGAAGAGTCCTGGAGAGCAGCGGCGAAATCAGCGAAAGGCATGACGGGAGTTTGTTTCTATTTGGTCTTTAGTTTGCCCACCTCGCCGTTCAGCTTGCCCTCCCGAACCAGCTTCTCGTTGAGTTGGCACAGCAGGCGCAGGAAGCCGTCGTTGGGGCCGATCTCCCTCTTTTGCCGGACGGTGGCCACCGCCTGACGGGCGTCCATTTTGTGGCGCAGCATGAGGTAAGCCACCACCATGGTGGGCGAGCGGCTGTAGCCTTCCCTGCAGTGCACGTACACCTTCCCTGTGAGAAACAGCAACAGGATCAGTTGAATGCAAGGCCAGCGCGTCACTAAAAAAAGCACAGCGTTGCTAAGGATTGATTTTGGGTTTTTTTTTACAGTCTGTCCGGGCATGCAGTGAAACTAAGGCCGAGAAAAAGAGGCGGAGAAGGTCCCCAACTTAGCTCCAGCACAAGCTGTCGTTCCAAAGAGTAGAGAAAACACAATCAAAGGTCAGCAGTGTTGCAAAGGGGCCGGCGAGGAAGGGGGTAGAGTGCTCGCTCACAAGAAGACGGCGCCTGCACTGCCGTAATGGCGATGGAGCCGCTCACTAAAATCCTCCAACCTTCGACCTTTGAGAGCCGACTCGCGAACACGAGTCGAGAAATGTCGCGCGCAGCAAAATGTGACACCGCGGCAAAACACAGCAGATCCCGGCTCTGAATATTCAAGAGGGGAGCAGTTCTCAGTTTCGCGGAACGCTGATGCGGCAGGTTTAAGATCGAACATTTCATGTCAAAGATATGAAGGGGGCAATGACGCGTGCAACAGGTGCCGCCTTTTGCTGATATCCGAGAACTGGATCTGATAATGGAATATGGAGCAGGACTCTGGAGCGAGTCAGAATTAGCCGCAGATGATTGACTTCTGTCTTTAAGAGCACAAAGCATCACATCAATTCCACTCAATAAATGTTGACATACATGACATAGCAAGTGGCGTTATCGGTGTCACCTTTGCCGTTGTTGTGCGCGAGGGCCTTGTCGATAAAAACGGCGCCCTCCTCAAAGAAGGCACTGAGGTCAAATTGCTCCGTGTCGTTGGCCTTGATGCCGTGGTAGGCGATGCCCGTGCCGGCGTAGAAGTCGGCGCTGGTGTTGACGTGCATGAAGGAGGTGCCCTCCGCCATGTTGAGCACATGCGTCACGCCCAGCTTCTGCAGCCGCATTGCATTCTGGGCCACAAACCTGCAGCGGAAGGAGACAAAAGTGTTAATCCTCCTGAAGAAAAAGGAACATAAAGCACTGAAAGAGCACACTGGAGAGATGATTGACATGATTTTTTTATCACCGCAGCGATTAAAAAAAAAAGGAAGCCTGTCAGCACAGTGATGTACAGTATATGCTGCATCTTTCATAATAAAAAAAAAAACCCAGCTCAGTATTTTGCTGCTTCAAAAGAAAAACAAAAAAATAAATAAAAAACACTTTTCGCTGAGGCAGGCCTGCCTGTTTCGATCAGTTGTTGTGAGAATAGAAAACAGAAAAGCATCAATATTGCTTTTCCTTGATTTATTTTGGTGTGGGAAATTTTCCAGGTCCACTTAATTTTGCTACAAATGTATTTCTGTTCATGACCTAGGGGATGTCAGCAACATATCGTGGCAGGCAGAACAATTAAATGCTCTTCGCTTGATGGATTGAGGTCTCAAGTGGGTCAACTCTTCGGGGAGCCTCTGAGAGAACTTAACGAACATTTTCAAGGACTGAACCACCTTGTCCCCGGTGCAAGTCTCACGTGAAAAGAATGAAAAAAAACAACAACAGCATTTAATCTGCTTTGATCTACACCGCAGCAGACGCGTCAGCATTAAAAAAAAAAGGCCATTGGGTTCCAGAAGAGGTCACAAGCTTTAAATCGCCGATCGATATCCCCGCCTAACTGTTCCCTCCGGTTGGACACGCCCACTTGAACAGCGCACGAATTACACAAGGCGGATTAGAGGCAAAAGCATTTGGAGCCTTGTCGACATCACTTGGTTTCCTAACTTGACTGGCACGTTTATATTGATCACATTGAAGCGGTGAGCCATTAAAGCGCATGCAGAGCATCCCTCTTCCTGTCTCGGCGGCGATCCGAGCCAAACGACGGCCAGCGGCGGGATCCTAAATGCCTCAATTTCTCCAGTGGCAATCCGCTGCTTGACAATCGCGCCATATTGTTTGTGAATCATTCAAATACTGTCGGCGATGCTTCAAAAGGTTTCCCCGATAAGATGACCAGGACTCACGTTTTTTTGTTGCGAGTTCAGCTCAGTCGCCGAACCGATTTAGTTTATGCTCATTCAGTACCGTCTGGTTCAGGTGCGCCACTTGGTGTTTGGCTGGCTTGAAAGGTTTAATTGAACCAGGCAGCGACTAAGTGTGAGCTGTGAGATGTAAATCCTTGCCCGTAGACACGATTCATTGGGGAGGCGATAGCCACTGGAATACCAACAAGCTCAGATTTATGTTTCACCCTCCAATTTAATCCGCTACGATGACTACATCCACATGATCCTTTGTATTTTAGCGGATGTGCTACATGTCAAATTACCTATTACGAGGGTTCTAAGTTAACTTTTTGAACTCCAACCAAGGGTGTCTCGAAATCAGATCAAATTCTGTACTCGAGGGCCTCGATCCAGCCTGTTTTAGATATTTCCTTCCTCAACATACTTAATTCAAATGATCATGTCATCAGCAAGCTCTGAGAAGCCTGAGAAGGTCTAAACCTTTGTCTGGGTTTCGGTACAGGTTTATGGAGAGGTCTAGTTTTGGACTCGGACTAGGTACGGATCTTGTTTCGGCTTAGTTTTTGCTTGCGGTATAGGTCACGTTTCAGGTACAGGTTCAGTTCTGGTTCTAGGTTTAGGTAAAAGTCCAGTCTAGATGTAGGTCTAGGTTTAATGGTAGTTCTATGACATGTGTTCAACTTGTCTGGGTCTAAAGCTCGATCTCGGTTTACTGGGTACTATTGGGTTAGTTTGTAGAGTACATTGACGAGGTATAGACCTTGTCTAGGCCTAGCCTTAGCTTTAGGTAATTTTTGGACGAGGTTGAGGTTTAGCCTGGGTCTTGCTCAATCAAGGTTCCACATTAGTGATAGATTATAGCGCACACGAATGTCTTAATTTTGTTTTGCGGTGTCGTGACGGCGTTACACAACACCCACTTAAGGTGGCGGCCAAAAGGTGTGTCGGGAACAAAACAGACAACAGGCGGTCGCTGGCAGACAACATAAACAAAAAAAATGAGGCACTCACGCGTTGCCAATGTATATCCTCGGAAAGACCTCGTTGAAGTGCTGCGTCGGAAGGCTGTAGAAGCCGCTGCCGTTCGACAGGAGCTCGTTGAGTTGCTGGACGGTCACCTCGCCGCCCAGAGTCAACGCCGACGCCGCCACGGCCGCCGGGACGTCTGACGCCGCCGCCGCCGGTTGCTTGACGGGACTGTAGTGTTTTTTCATGACGCCACAAAATAATAAAGGTCAGACTGAAGCGGCGAACCTTTTGCTGTCCTTTGAGCTCATTTTCATCGCATTCCGCCGCACGTGAGTCGTGCGCGGACCGTCTGGTCTGAGGTGTCTGACCGGGGATGACGTCAAGTTCCAAGGAATCACATTAGTAGTACTTCCTGTTTGAAAACTCAACGAAGAATTACAACAATAATAGCAATTGTCTAAATAGTGTTTGCTAAACCTCAAACATGATTTGCGAGACGTTATTAATTTTTTTTAATATGTATCTTTGAGTATCATGGTTCGTGATTTAGCAGTACATCAAGTAGGCACACAATCGATTTTGTTTTTTATTTTGAAGTTGACTTTGGTCACGTCCGTTACTGTGTCGGTTCCAAGCAGACACGCCCCACCGGTGAACACGCGCCCCACTTCCCGGTTTTTGCTTCACATCTGACGGCTACACTTTGCCCACAGCGCAGTTTTCAAAAAGAACTACATAAAACGAACACATTGCAAAAGCACCGAGTCGAACGAACGAAGGAGTGAGGATAAGTTAGCTCATGTGTGCTAACGAGACGTACTTGCATGAAACCTCTCCTCCTCTAGATGTCACCTTTTTACTCTTATGGCTGGAGACTGTTTGGATGACGTCACTTTCTTTGGTTCGGGAAAAGGGAAAGTTTTGATCAAAAAGAACAAACATCTGTTTTGTTGCACATTATTTTATATTGGAGGTTCTTGATACATTAAAAATGACTTGGGATCAAAACTTTCACCACTTTGTTGAATTGATCTCCCTCTATAAATAGCCTTAATTGAAAAATAGAATATGAAATATATATTTATGTAAAAGTAGGTTGGATGCTTGTCTGCTGTTATGAATAAAGCCACAAGGGGGTGCCACTTTTCCATTGAAGCTGCACACCTAAGAAGCGACGGTGCCTACAGGCGGGATGTGAACGTTATGCGCACGTTGTGAAATAAACTAGCATCATTTCAATAATTGCCACATTTAATCACGATAACAGTATTGTAACAACAAAGCAGGGGGCATCAAAGAAAATCCTGGACAAGTCAGGAGCCAATTCAAAGACAAACAAATCATGGATTGGTTGCCAGCACGGGCCGAGCTTCGCGGTGGTCACTCTCTGACCACTCCGCTGGAAAATCAAAGTTTAACGATCTGTTTTTAGTAAACAACATTTCATTCTTACAATGTCAACCAAAATAATTACTTTCACACAAAATACCATCAGCTGTCTAAAATGATTTGCATACATTTTAAATCTTTTCTCACTACAAGATGAGGTTTGTTTTCTTCTACACAATTTTTTTGAGCTTTAGTAAGTGATTGCTATGTAAAAGAGGCCACTTCACTCAAAAAAAAAACGCTAGTCATCATTTTTTGCGTTTCCATGGAAATGTGATGTGAGGAGATATAGACCGGCACCATGGCAACAACAACAACAATTGAGCGACGTGCTGAACGGGACGTTCTAATTTCATTTAGGTGATATTTGAGGGGGCTAAATTGTAGGAACACTCCAGTAAATTTGAAAAAAAATGCATTAAAGGAAAATTATGGGGGGTCGGGGGGGGGGGGTTCAATGACATCCCATGTCCCATGTGTTTGAGGGTAAGACTATGCATTAATTTAGTCACTTTTTTTATTGACAGTTTACCTTCTCATCCCGCATCTACGCTGCTTAATTGGACCGGGACCACCTGAGTCCGTCTGCAAATCAGCTCAGGGGGTGACATGTGGGGGAGTTCCACCAATCGCTCAAATTTCAGTCGCCTCGACCCTGATAAGAATAAGCGACAATAAGGATGGTTAGCTTGCTTCACAGGCACAAACAGTTCCGAAAATGGCTGAATTTCGAGCAACCGTTGATGGATGGAGACCGTTTCTCAACCAGGCATTCATATTGACGTCCGTCGAAAGGAACACATGAAAGCCTCCTTGAGAGCACATAAAAACAGAACAAACGGCAAAGACGGACGCCCGGCGTGGCATTGTAAGGTCTGAACTGTAACTTCGGTACTTTTCGCTTTCATGGAAAATCAGCCCCTCAATGTGCAAAGGAGTGTTTATTAGGCTCTCTCAGTACATTCTGGTTGCCTTTTCCAGATGGCCTTTGCGCGCATGACAATGGAGCGTGCACGTGTTGCCTTCGAGGCCCCTTTTAAGCACTTTTTTTTTTTTTTTTTTTTTTTTTTTTAGAAAGAAGCCATCTCAATCAATGCGAGCCACTTTCACCCAAGGGCTTTTGTAAGCGTCAGTGATTCGTCTTGAGCTCCGACAATGGACTTTTCTGCACGAGGTGATGGATACAACCATCTGTGTGCCCCCCCCCACCCTCCCATCAGATAGATCCAGCGGTAAGCCGGTTCATTAAGGGGAGGAACAATCAAATGTGTGCTAATAGGAATTGAAAAGGAAAATTGCCTCATGCGGAAGATACAGCATGGCCATCATCCATGATGTTATTTCTTTTACATCAAAGCGATTCCCTGTTAATGCGCTTGCACGAACAACATGGCCGTGAACAGAGAAGAGCGAGTTTACGGTCACCAACTTCATCATTTGGTGGTTATATTGAGCGACTTTTCTATTTTTTTTCGCCAACATGAGCGGAATCTCATGAAATTTTTTTGTGAACTAAAATCGCCCGGCCCTCGCCGAGCGTTTGTATTCGCAAACGCTGCCTCTCCTTGGGTGGTCGCCCGCAGTTCAGAAAGGACGCTGACCCCTCCTGAACCCCATGTTTTCCTTTCAGTGTAGGTCGCGTACATGCTTAGGACTCGTGAAGACAAATACGCGTTTCAGGCTAATCGGGCGTGCGTAAGTTCAACCTGGAAGTGGGAGAGGGCAGATGTCGGTTCCTGCGCCAGTTCTTGGTTCTGTTCAAGATCACTTTCGATGACAAGAGTCTTTCCTTCACCCTGTTGGCTTGCTTCTTATGTACAAGTAGCCTGAAACCAATGTGGAAAATCTCTTCTGCTTAAAGATCAACGAACATCAGCACAGTGATAGACTCGACAATCAATCACTTCAACAATAATGAATGTGAACTGATAACAAGTCACAGTCTGGGAACGCAGACAGCACCCCCCCCACAACAATCACTTGCTGTCACAAACCAACATTGGCTTGTCGCCGTCGATCGCAGAGTTCGCGCCTCGCTATCAGTGGCCCCTTTGTTGGGACGGCCACTGGCTGAGAACACTTTTCAAACAAAACAGTAACTTGATCGTGATTCACTCAAACGACAAGGAAAAGACTTCAAACCACCCGCAGTCCTCATTTTGAGAGACCACACCGGTCTGACGTATTTTTTTTATTTTTTTTTGGGCTTGTTTTATTTGTTTTGGTTTTTATTTTATTTGATTTTTTTTTTAATAGGCATTCAATTTTGTGTATTTTAAGAGTTGAACATGTTAAAGCATTGCAGTTGAGTTTCCTATAGTCCTGAATTGACAGTATTTTGGGGCTAACAGCTATTCATTCAGGGCCACATCCTCAAGTTGGTTCGCGCAGACTTCCAAACACACCCACCGCGCCGAACCGAGAAACGTGCGCGCAGCCGCCTCGGAGCAGTGACTCAGGGAAGTCTGAAACTGACAGTGAGTCACAGAGTATGAGGTGTGCTGAAACTTGTCAGTCCAAGAAATCCATTTGGATACTTGAGCACACTTGAACAAGCCACATCAGGATTTTCCATGTTCAAACTTTCAGCTGGATGCAATCGTTTGCTGGAAAGTTTAGGTTTGGGGTTTTTTGATAGATAAGTCGAGAATTGGACCAAGCTGAGTGGAGACTGTCAGGGTGCGCTCGTGTTGAGTTTGTCCAACCTTGACAAGAGGCGAGCTGAGTGCCCGCGAGCGCTGCGCTATCTTTAGCTTTTGTTCAAGCTTTTAGCGCTGGCCTTCTCCTCCTCTTCCTCCTCCTCATCTTCCTCCCACTCTGCCCACTCACTGCAAACATAACACGCTGATGCATGCTTGCACATGACCAACACACACTCATGTATCCACGTTGCAGGAGTGTTACTGGGCAGATTAGAGGCGGCAACCTACTTCTGGGATGAAAACGTGAGCCCGAAAAAAATCTCGGGGTAATGCAAGCAGCTCTTAACACTTCACGTAAAAATACCGAACGACAGCACACCGTATGTGACGTCATGTACGTATATTACCAACCACCACATGCGAAAAGGATTTTCATGAAAACATTCCCAAAATAGCTCGGGTCAAACGGGCTAGCTAATCAGCGCTAATCTTAGTGTTCAACGTTGCCATGCTGAGGGTCAAGCGACGGCTTCATTCATAATCGGATCGGGATATGAATGGCCGTCACATTTATGAAACAGTTTGAGCAACGCAATAATGAGGAATTCAGCAAAACGGAAGGTCGACTTAAGTCTTCTGAACGTTATTTATGGGGGTGTCATAGTAAATGGATTCTGTCCCACGACAAACTGAAGCAACAAATTTGCTCTCAAAACAAACACAGTGCAGCTCACTCACCCTTCTGGTTAGCGGACGCCGTGGCGAGCGATGCTTGCTCGTTAGTTTGATTGGAACGGCACCACAGCAACATGAAAAATTGTTCAAATTACTGCAACGGTTCGTGTTGCACTTTTTCCTCAAAAAAACAAAACAAAAAATGGACAAGCGACTGATGTTCCACTTTCCGAACAAGAAACGATTCGAGCGATTATTGTCATGATTCAGTTCTTGTGCGTCTCCAGCAGGTGGCAGAGGAGGGCCTTCCCTCCAGCGTGCACACCTGCTGCCAACATTCGTATCAATTCGGCATGTATTTAAGGACTGTCACACTGCCAAGCCTTGGTGAATCTTGGGTGGGGGGGGGGGGGGTTGTATTAATAAACTCTTTTTGTTCAACTCCGTCCGGGACCGCGTTTTGAGAGCCCAATTCTGTTCTGGATCTTTTTCAGAACTGTAACAAGTTATGTATTGTATTATTTTCAACTCACGATACCCAATGCGATTCAAACCTTTTAACTGCAACCGGCTTGTTATATATATATTTAAGATAAGATAAGATAAGATATCCTTTATTTAGGCTTTCAATCCCAAAAATGAAGGAGCGAGATATAATAACGTCACTACAAGATCATCTCTGAATATGGGATTCCTTCCATATTTTATTATTATTATTAATATTTTTAGTGAATACAATGAAATGTATCCATGCAGCGTTGCTGTACAGGGATGAAAAAGCAGCCTTGGCATTGCACCTGTAATTGTATATCTGCCTCTGCAGGTTCCTCCTGCACTGCAGCATCTGAGGCTGTCAGGGGAGTTCACGTCATGTTTGCCCCCCGAGCGACGACCGACTGCCAGGCAACCGAGTGCCTCCCGCGTCCTCCCCTCCCGCTTCACCTTCTCCGCCGAGCTGCTGTCTCATGACAGCGACTGGCAGCGACGATGAGAAAATATTGCTTTAGCTCGCCGGCTGAAGGAAATTATAATGCTGCTAAGTGATGATGCTTTTTTTTTTTCTTCTTTCCCCCTGCTGTGGAATAACAAAGGCGTAATTGTGATGCTCCCAGCTGGAGCAGAACTGGATTTGCCTAAAAGTGCAGTGTGACCTTGACAGAATGGGAGTGCTTTTTTTTTTTTATACCTTCACACTTCTCTGAGTTTAATAAGTTCCTGATGAAAGAGGGCCTGCAGGCTGTTTTTGCCACACATCATTGGAGGCAACATAAGGAGGATTCAAATCAAGGCCACAAGGACACCATGCAGGCATCTCCACCCATCTTTCCTCCTTGGATGCAATTGGGTCTTCATTTTCCCAAATGCTGATAAAAGTGGAATGCACAACAGGTAACAAAAAGTTATCTGAGGCTTGACACGAAGCACAAGACGCCACGAGTCGGTGTAACTGTTAAGGGGCCCGAGATCAGTCCATGATGTGCTACTGATGTCTTTATGGGACAAAACTTGTCATCTTTCCCTGACTCTCTTTTTGGTCCGGGGGGGCCTGAGTGGAACCACAAACAGTGCCATTAAAATGGACAAAACAAAAAGGAATGCTGGGCTTGGATGAGGCCGAACAAAAAGGGCCACTCTGGTGGCCTCATTTAGGCGATGAAGCCCCAAATACCAGATCTGCTGCGCATGGGTTCCTCTTCAGAACCATCATGGAAGAGTCCTGATGCATGCGCAGTCAGATTTGGAGGGACTAGCATGCCGAAAAGATCTTGCCGTCATTCACGAGTGAGTGAGGACTTGTTCGACAGAATTGCCCGAGGTAATTCATTGCGTTCCAAAGCCTCTGTCACAGACTTTGTTTTGAAAATGGACAACCGCAGAAAGTGGAAACATCCGAATAACCAAAAGCAGAACATTGGAAAGAGGAGATTCAGGACACAAAGCAGGAAGAAACGTCCTGAATCCCAAGACAACGTCCATAACAGACAAATGATAAACGTTCTTTACTTTCAACGTCGTCATATGACATTTACGTTCTCCTTTCACGTGCAGCTGTCCCCGCATCCGACTGAGATCTGAGCGACCCCCCTCAGCCGGGGTCTCACCTTTTCACTTAGGCGAGACCACTGTGTCAACAAACGCCACGTGCAAAGAGGAAGGTTGACGTGGGTCACACGGTTGCTCAGGGCACGGGTTGTAGAAAACGTCTCTTTCTGGCGAACTCTTTACCGAACCGACCCTAATGGGCGTCCACTTTTTGGAACCTTGGACATCAAGTTCACCAGGTTCGACTTTGGTCGTTTTTTTTTTGTTGCACGCGTCCTGGGAGCTAGCATGTGACACCAAAGGATTTATGGATCGGATTGACTTGAGGTGACCTAACCCCCGCGCGTTCAATCCCAGCGGGATTAAATCGCTTCCAAAGAAAAACACACGGCCAGATGTTTCAAAATGAGTTGATGGAGCATCGCTTCATCAGTACGGCAGAAATGTGACTCAACGTTCACCCGGCGCAGGGACGAAAGATGATGTCATCCAATGAAGTCATGTTTCAATCCCCGCAGCTGGACAAGGGGCAAGTTTTTTTGTTGTTGTTGTTGTTTTCGATGACTACCACAGGAGTTGAAGCCATATGTCTCGAGAGAGGGGCGAAGGAGATGTCACACCAAAGTCACCGCCGCATCCTGCCGGGTGCAAGACTGCCGATAAAGTCAAGCTTCGCTTTCCCTCTCGATCCCTTCCCTACAAACTCCCCAGCCCCCCTTTTCAATCAGGCCTGCTCGCCTCCGAAATGGAGGCCAAGTGGCAGCTTTACGATCTGTGAGGGATAAAACCGACAGCGACTAATCCAGCCACCCCACCACCACAAACATTGTTCCTTTTCAACCCTTTGCGGACCTTTTATGTCCGGCGACGATGACCTTTCATACATTTCCGCAGCTCCGAAAACGACGCGGTGCGAAGAAATTTGAGACGCGGCCATCATGTGACGCTCCCAACAAGGACAGTGAATACCAAAGGAAAGGGGTCAACAGATCTCATGACTCCAGTATTGATCTTCTACTCTTATAATCTCCCTGGCCCCTCAGTAACCTCCGCCGGATCGGACGCGCTGCCACAAAAAGCAATCCGACCCCTTCACCGCCCTTCGGGGACTGATGAAGTCAGGTTGCCAGGGTGATGGAAAATTATGTCTCAGGCCTGTTTGCGGCGTTAAGAGGTGCCGGGGTCTGTTTTTCATCAAGATGAGGCCAAACGCTACATGGCCCATTTTTTACTGACCGTGGCCCAAAGGGACATCCCATTAAATCAAAGGATTTATCGGGATCGCAACAAAATTGTCTTTTGGTCATCTTTAACACGGACTTTAATTAGTCAGGGGGTCAACATCTGCGGTTCTTCCACGGACTGTTTCTGTTGTCGCAAGGTCTTTCCAAAGACTTGGCCTTGAGGGGTCTCGGAGTGACACGCCGTCAAGAGTGAATCCACGAGATTTTTACGCGCGGTGGGATAACACATGCCGATAAAGACTCGTGGCTGAGAACCAGACGCCATTTCATTTGAACCCTTTCGGGGGACAGCGGTGACTACAGCGGACATCTTAACGTGTTAAAGGGTGCGCGAAAGGGCTAAAGCCCAGAAATGAGCTCGTCTCTCCGCATTGTGTTTTATAATTCCGGAGCACGCTTCTGCAACCTAAAGCAGCCTCCCTGCCCGCCTGCTGGGGACCTTGTCAAGCGAGGTAGGAAACAACGGGGCGCCTGAAAAGTAAAATATGCAAAACGAGGCAAAAGACTGAACAAAAAGGAGACAATGATCACGCGGCTCCCTTCAGTTTGCCTCCGCAGGGGAGGGAACTGGGATAGCGATGCGGGAAGTCCGTCAGTCACATGCCCTGTCGGAGGTCGGTACGACAACTCTCTGGATCTTACGCCGCATCCGTCCATTTTCTGTAGCGCTTGTTGTCATGATCGTCGTGAGTGAACCAGAGTCCGTCCCAAAGTGACTTTGGCCCCGATACGCAGATAACTCCTGAACTAGCGCGAAACGTCAACAGAGATATGGGCTACGGATCATTCAAAGATAGGGCGCGAAATGAAAATTGTACACTTAAGACTTTGTAGAAAGAAGGCAGAGTCACACATTTTTTGGGCGTTCTGGGTTGATTGACACTTCCACGGAATCTCTGGTCTGCTGCTGTTACATTACAATGCTAATGAAGTCAGCAGGCCAGATGCTGCATGGAGACGTCCTTGAGAAACTTTTAAACTTTTTTTTTTTTTTTCTCCAATGAGGTTGCAGGTGCAGGTCGCTTGAACGGGGAGGTCGTGCAAGTCCGAGTGCAAAAATTCCCCCAAGGACGAATTTGAAGTCATTAGCCATTGGCTCTTCATGCCGCGCAAGACCAACGCTCACGAAAGACAACAAACAATGTCCAAAGTGTGGTGCTTTGATTTATTCATTCACCAATGTTACAAAAGAAAACAAGACAGGTTTTTAATCAAATCTTTTGCACATTGCGGGACAAGCAACGAAAGGATGCAGCAGCGGCAGTGGTGGTTAAGAACTCATCTCATTATTTTCTCCATGAGGTCTATTAAAAAAATGTCGCAAAAATAGGTCCACAAGATTATCAAAATAGGTGACTTTTTTTGTGTGTGAGCTAGCTTATCAATTACTTATTGCGGCTCGGAATTGGATCCATTTGGTCTGGCAGATTTGGAAATATGATGCTGACATTTTTCTCATGTCCGCCTCAGAATTCATCCTGCCAGGCGAATACAAATGCTCTCTAATGTAGCTTTGTAAGGTTAACCAAAATACTAGAAACGGCTTCAATTGTTAACAGCGTCAATTCAAATCACTAGTGAGTTTTATTAGTTTTGTTAAAATAAAAAAAAATTTTAAAAATGTGAAAAATTGAGAAAAGCTCGTTAGGGAAGACGAATGCATTTAAAGAGGTGTAAACGGTAGTTTTGTTAAAATGAAAAAAAATTTTTTGAAAAATTGAGAAAAGCACGTTAGGGAAGACGAATGCATTTAAAGAGGTGTAAATTTAAATGTTTTGGAACCCATTATCAAATATTCATATTTTGTATTATGTCTCTGTTGTGCAAAGACACCTTAAGATGGAGCCAAAGCCCTGGATAATAGGAAAGTAGTAATTGGTGTCATATCATGACAAAGTGGCATCTTGACTGGTCTTTCTGATCGCTGTGTGTCGGGGAGGAGCCAAATTCAGGTTCCAAAGAGACTTCACCACATTGTCATTTATTTATTTATTTATTTTTTTGAAGGGTAACGTTACAAATGGTGTCTGAAATTAATTGATCTTAAAGTAGTTTGAGATTGCGGTATCGCTATGATTTAAAGTGTGATTTTCAAAGTTGCCGTTTTGTTTTTTTCGACAGTTCGCAGCAGCACCTGCTCCCTATTACTAGAATTCATCTTCGACAAGGCAGGGTGGGACTCTGCATTTTGCCACCACCACCAGACAATGTTGTGTTCTTCCTCATCCGTCCTCCATACTCTTCATCTCCTCCTACCCCTGCTGTGCTTGACCATCTTCTTCCTCCTGAGGATCATGTCGTACAGTTTCTCCAAGCCTTGCTGCACGCCGCGGCCGTCCACGGCGCTGCAACTGTGCACGTGGTGCAGAGTCCCGGCGCTCAGTTCCTGCACGCCCAGCAGCTTTTCCACCTGGCCCACGGGCAGCGCCGTTTCCAGGTCCTGCTTGTTGGCCAGGATCAGCACGGGCACGCCTTGGTTCTCCGAGCTGCGGCTGATCTTGTGGAGCTCCACCTTGGCCTCCTCCATGCGCTCGGTTTCGGCGGCGTCCACCACGAACACCAGGCCGTCCGTGCGCCGCGTGTACGACTTCCACAGCGGCCGCAGCTTCTCCTGGCCGCCCACGTCCCACACGTGGAAGGTGACGGCTCGCGAGCCGCCAACCGACACCTTCACCTTCTCCGTGTTGAAGCCTTTGGTGGGGATGGTCTCCACAAACTCCTTCAGCTTGAGCCGATAGAGCAGTGAGGTCTTTCCAGCCGAGTCCAGCCCGATCACGACAACGTGCAGGCACTTGAAGCCGGGCAGGAAGGAGCCGGGGGGCGCCAAGTCGCTCAGGTGGTTGCCCATAATTCGCCGGCTTCCGTGAGGATGCCTGCTTTGATCCTCTGGAGCTTTTTACAAGGTCTGCATGTCAGACAGGATCGCCAACCTTATCAAGACAAAGAATAGAAAGTGCTTAAAAGGTCCACAAATAAACAGCTTTTCAAAAGTCAGTCGCTGCAGGCAGTCGAGTCCGTTGATCATAGAGTTAGTTCATCGATCTACGCTAGCGACATATGGTGGACGGGCAAAAAAAAAAAATGTCATGCTCTTCAACTGGAGATCAGAAGGTGCATAACTTTTTTGCAACTTAGGTTCAAATAATGTTGGGAAACACTGCAGACAAAAAAAGGTGATTGAGGCGTTTGGTGTCTCATTTACCAAAACTAATCCTCTGAAAAGGCTGTTCAACCTCACACGTTCATTTCAGCACAGCACTGGATTGAAGGCATTCATGCATGCAGACAGCGATGATGCTTTAATCCGGTTATTGACATCCCGATTTCCATCAAAACCTCTCTACTGCTTGTTTACACTACATTTATCTAAAAACTGAACTACACGCACGGAACTAAACGCCTATTCGTGTTTTGACGCATGATGGGCTTCATGGTGGAAACTAAATGAAGGCAAATGTGCATACAGGGAATAACATACCACTTTGAACCTCAACTAATGCATGTAATAAACATTCAGCGTGCAGTAACGTACCTTGAACGCGGTCTCTGTCTTCTTCAAGCCCATGAACGCATCGCTCGGCAGATGTGCGAGTCGTGAACGCGCAGGAGGACAAAAATGTCTTCAAACGCATCCATGTTGCGCTGTCATCAAAATAAAATACGGCTGCTTTGCCCTCCCGCGGTGGTCCACAAGCAGCACCGAGTCGCTCACTTCTCAGTCGCCGCCGCCACGAACGCACTCCACTCGAGAGCCCTGGTGACGTCACGACCAATGAGAGCACTCACGAATGTGCTCCCTGTGTCGTCTTTTCTGGCATTTTTCTCGTTGGACTGCGTCATGAGGACACTTGAATGCATCTCGTCTGGAGAAAATTGCTGCTGAGATGAATCCTTTTCATGGATTACAGTCTTAAACTACACCAATATTTTATCGTACAAGTACTTCGTATGCTCGGTATTTGATTCGACTCTTACTTTTCAATACAGGTTCAAACCGTGTCGAAAAACGTTGGACGTGCGGTTTGTGACATCTAGCGGTGACCATTGCACACAGCAAAACTTGACAAGACAAACTTTTATAAAACATGTAAATTCTGTATTCAAATACAGGTAACACGCACACACACACACACACTCATAGTATATTAGTCAACATATTCATAAGATTGCCGTGTACTTCCATTCTTCAAAATATAACACATTGACAAGGCATGAAATCAAGTCATAACATCTTGCTCAGTTAACAACATAGTGTTTGGAACTTAAATATTTTTTTTCACGGAACACGCTACATAAAGTACATTCTCTAAAAAAATTAAAGACTGTATGTCTACACTCAAATTACAGTATTTAGAATTCTTTCACACTAACGTTGATAAGAGTGGCACAGTGTTAATATATTGTAATATGATGAATGGAACTGTAAACATGTATAATCATCCGATTTTTAAACTACATTCGTTGTTTCTAGTATCAGTCTGTTAATAACCCGATTACTGTGTCTAAAATGGGGAAACAAAAGCATTAACTTTGTAAATTGTCGCTTTGAGAAATTCAGTGACGTTGGCGTGCATTAGTTTACGGGGGCGCTGCCACATCAAATAGGGCGAACACGTTCACGACCGAGTGATTGAGGGATGTAGAAACTCTACATATTGACGTCTATGCTTCAATAACTATAGCTGTCGTAATCTTCAGTCCCCATGGCGATTACAGTCTGTCACTTTATTGGCTTCTCAATCGAAGGCAGAATTTAAGTATTGGAGCCAGCTAGCTACTGGTGAGATGTACTATCGAGCTGACCTAGCTAGTTTACACGCACCAATTAGCACACGACTTCACCTCGTTATTAAAAAGCGGGCGGTTTGGATCGGGGGAGAGTTTTTCATGACTATGCGAACTGAATTTAGCTGCACTTACATGTTCACTTTTGTTTGCATGTTTGTTTGTTTTTTATTATTATCTTAAATGCCCCAAACCAGTTTTAGACTAAAATGTGACGTTAGCTTACCTGATTGTTGGTTTGGTGATGACGCATGAAGTTTGACGTTGTCGTTGTTGTGTCTTCATTCTGTGAGGTGCATTCCACGCGTTTTGCCATCGTCTTTGTTGTCAACGTCATCAAGATAATTCATTAAATCAAATTAATGATCCCAGAAAGCTGGTCTCATAGTGTTATGGTCGCCACAGGCTGCCTCGCCTGCACAGCACACTGCCTCGCTTGTATTCACGTCGGTGTACGCCGAGGTCGCACGTGTCACTCAAAGGCGTTTTTTGATCCAGAGTTTCTGACACCTAGTGGTGACATTTAATTTAGCAAAACCTGCCGTTTTTAATTCAAGTCACAAACGGTTGTGCCTAGAGCAGTGGTTCCTATCCTGGGTTCGACAGAGCCTCTGCCATGGAGGTTTCGGCACACCTGACTGAAACATGTCAGTTAGTTACGACACGCCCGTTTGGCCATCACTGGCTGGTTCATTTCATGCATAATTAAAAAAAAAAAAAACATACTTATGTCTTGAAATCGCTTTTTTCTGTTTTTAATAAATGTGTTTTTTTATGTCTTGAATTTGTCAAAAAATATATATATTTTTTTTTTCACTAATTAAGGGTTCGGTGAATGCGCATATGAACTAGTTGGGTTCGGTACCTCTAACAAGGTTAAGAACAACTGGCCTAGGGTCAAGTCAAGTCTGAAGATAATCCAAAGCATTAAATGACGACATTTTTACACAGATACTTTTTCTGTCCGCTGTCTTTACCTGTATGCCAATAACGCCCTCTTGGGGGAGGATCCCTGCGACAGCAAGAGAGGCTTCATCTGCAAGAAAAGTAAGATGGTGATGCTGCACCTTTTTTTTTTTTCTTGCTGCATCCTGGTGACTCATGTCCATCTTTGGATTTCCTTTGGCAGAAAAGGCAGAGAAACATTGACTGGCTCGTAACCGTAAGTTATTTTGGATGAGATGAAAGCGAAAAAAAAAATGAGATGAATGAAACTTTTGTGTGTCCAGCAGATGCCATCACCGTAGAGCTGACCTCTGTGCGACCTTTGTCAAAGAGATTTTCCACCGCCATCTCAATGAGGTTTTATTCTGCTCCCATAAGAATTTTGATTTCGCGATTGTATGACTTTTTGGAGGACTAGATAAGTTTTTTTCCCCCCTTTCCCTTCTGAACAATATATTGACATGTATTTTCTTTGCTTCATTATGTAACCAATGATCCTTTTCAATGACTGTCCTAATAAACTTGCTAAGACAATTGACTGAGAGGTTTCCATGGCAACGTTGCGGCGCGAGGGGAAGGCCCAGATTAGTTCTCTAAAGAATGAGACAGAATTCCTTTTATTGCCACCATACAAGTAAATGTGTCATGTCAATATATTCCTTGTATATTTCTCTTTGTAAAAAAAGTGGCTTCCCAAAGTTAGTAAAAAGATGTGACGTACTTACCAAATGAAGATGACGATTCTCAAACGAATCCAAAATAAGGTCACGAAATGCCACCTGTAAGGTTCGGTACATGGAAATAGTTTTTCTGACGGGTGCACAACGAATTGCGGGGAAGCGGCGCCGCCTTGCGGTCATTTGGTGCAACTGCAGGAACTACAGTCGTCTTAAACACCAAAGTTTTTTTCCCCCATGTCTGCTGTCAGATGTCACGTATTTTAGTCTTAATATGTGGCGATGTTTGGCGTGTTGTGGCAATTTCCATTTTGTGCAAAGGATTAAAAAAATATCGGCACCAAATTTAGACGGTTGGCAACACACAATTGATTGCTCAGTCTTTGGAATTGACATGAATAAGCACAGCTATCCTCAATACAAACCGTAAATAAAATAATCGCAAATCAGTACATGAGCAAGACAAATATATTTGAATCTTGAAATTTAATCAGTGAATAAAACAGATTGAACAGTGACACAATAACTGCATTGGAAATGATTATTGGGAGTCCTGTCTAATTACAAATGAGTCATATCAACGGACATTTCCATTCAATTCCCTTCCATGTCAAGTCATAAATCCCTCAGGGTGAAAAAAGCTGAAATTGACTTGGTTACAATAAAGTGCATCCATGACAGACTAAGAAACACGTCTCAATCTTCCCTTCATTGTCACAAAGGTGCTTCTTTGGTCACAGCAAAGCAGGGCGCACACATACTTGTCTGTAACTTCTTAACTGATTTGCATAAATGCGACAGCCCACATGACGAGGAGAGAAGAAAAAAAGTTTTATCTTCCCGTTCAGACCATGGATTGTGTACAAAGTGGTGATCAACACAGCACACAACAATTTCTTCTGCGGTCTCCCATCCAGACTGCTCTGAACTACAAAGCAATAGAAGAAGCAAGGCTTACTGTTGGCTTACACGCTCACAGCTTCAGCGAGACTCCCGATTGGCTAACAGCATTTCACATCGCAATTGCGGAAGCTAAGGGCATATCGAACAGTTATCGTGAATATTGGACCTGTTTGACATTTACGAGCATTGGCATTGACTGTTCTTACAGCAGAAAAATCGCAGGATTAGTTGTTTGTTTTTTTTCGAGACATCTGACAATTGGGCCTTTGCTGACTTGGACCACAAAGACAAGAAAAATGCTCAATATCGTTTAGACAATTGGCATGTGTGTACCCCGCTTTATATGAGTTTCAGGCCACACACACACACACACACACACACACACACACACACACACACACACACACACACACACACACACACGAGTACTTGTGCTCGCTCATCTGACGGGGTGCGGCATGGTGGAGTTGGTGCCACAGTCGATGTACTCAAAGGTCTCCAGGGACAGCTGCTCCGTGTGGGACAAGTAGGAAATGTTCATGGTCATCCTGGGAAAAAAAAATAATTAAAAATGAAAAAGACTGCAGGAGTGAATTGAATCTGCTGAAACACCAGCAACCAACACAACCCAGCGCGCCCTGAGACTTACTGCAGCTCCAGGAATAAGGTGTGGATCTTAATCACGCTGGACTGGCAATAAATCCTGCAAGACATTGACTGTGTCGGATCACCTCCATTTAACACCACAAGATTGAAATGTCCGCTCACCTGAGGCCGTTGTCAGTAATGGGCAGGTCAATTTGATACGTGTACTGTCAAGGTGAAAGAGGAGTTAAAACAAAAACAAGCAAAACAAAATTTTTGAGTTTTTCAAAAATTAAATTCACCGATTTCTCAGAGCGTGATGGGATGGCGGACAGGTTGGACAGCTTGATTTTGCCCACCACCACGCGGGAGATCAGACCCTGCACATCCAGTTCTATGATTTGGACCGGAACAAAGTTGTCATTGATGACTCTGATGAGATTCTGGAGAAGGGGAGGACAAAAATAAACACGAAGAGACAAAATGCACAAAATCAAAAACCAAAAAAGCACCCAAACAAGAACAGGGGGAAAAAAAATAAAAGTCAAGTTGACACACAATGTCATGGAAAAGTCTTCGAGGGGAACTTTGTCCTTTCTCTCTGCAACGCTTTAAAACGTGTCCGCTTTTACGGGAGTCTGTCATGTGAATGCAATTCAGCACAAGGCAAACTTCCACCTGAACTTTCTTGTATGAATCCACTGGACATTATTTTTATTATTGTTCAGGGTGGGACGACATATGAATACACATTTTAAAAATGCAGCTTATGTTATGATAAACCAAGTGTTGAATAATTAACACGTACATTGTGTGACAGTGCTGGCAAAGTGTACTTTGTGTTCATTTGTTTGAGATGTTGCATATACGTCGAAATGGTTTGGGGGCGAGGCTCACCGTGACCTCCAGTTGCACCGTGTCCGGCGTGAAGTAGACCATGACGGACAGCACGGACATGGGGGTCAGTGTGACGCTCCGGGGGAAGAGGAAGAAGAGGATGAGGCAGCTGAGGAAGAGACATAGCGCCATGGACAGGCACACGTACAGCTTCCTGCAGCGGAATGTCAATATTAACCGTAGAAATAATAACATTACATTCAAGTTACACTGCGTTGGGCTGTTCTTACGTGCGTCTGGGTTTGAGTCTTTTATCGTTACACGGGATGACGGCAACCAGTTGGTCTTCATGGCCTGAAAACACCCCCCCAAAAAAAAAAAATCACAATCAATATTGTCAAATAAATATCAAACGTGAGCACCATCATAAACCAATATTATTTTTTTAACAAACTGTCTGCTGAAGACCCAAATGTTTATTTCCAGTTTTCCCTAAAATGCCCCTTTTTTTAATGTTAAACAAACCTCTTGGAATTCGTCCAGTGCCGCGACAAGTGGGGCAGGTATCTCCCACGATGGAGCCATACCGTGGGAAATGTTTCATCGTCTTCACCGTCTCCGAATCGTTTTCCCCGTCTGGACTGGACTCCCCAGTTCCGTTCGTGCGCTCGCTCGGGACCATGACACTTGGCTCGCTCAACCTAAGACTTCTGAAACAAACCAAATAAATCATTATTGGGTTTATTTTCCCTGAGAAAAAAAAAAGTTCTCAGTTAGTTTAGTTGCGGTACCGTGCAGTCACGGTCAGTCATGATAAAGACCCAATAAAAGTGCCTTTGTGACAAAGCATAGTCCACAGTGATGACACGTTTAGTAGATTTTCACAAAACACATCAAATATCGATAATCCTTCTGCCACGAAAAAAAATGCTATTGAGTTACTGTTACTTTTATTGGGGGGGGGGGGAAACAAAAAAAATGAAGACAGTTGGTTCCTAACGGTCGGAACTACGTTACAGTATTAGGTTTCCAAATAATGACGTAATCTTTCAGAACACTCAACATCACTACGCCATTAGCCGCTCTAATGTGTGTGACGTTTACTGTTACTAAATTATTTTCGAACACATTGTCATTCCTAAATACAATATTAGCGTTCGTATCCACGTTTATCAGTGGAGTAGAATTATTTAGAAATAAAAATGTCGCGTCATTCCGATAGTTTGCGCACAACACCTCACCACACGTACGCATTTTATTTGGTGAAGCGTTCGCAGCTTTGCTGCATACTTTTTCACAAATTATTTTCGTGTACTATACGCACGGGTATGTAACTTTTTACGGGTATGTAACTTTTTAAAATACTAGTACATTTCTTTGTGTGCCTTGGTTGTATTTGTCATGAATACACGACTTACACGTGTGCTCTGCAATCAAAATGCCACCGATAATTTACAAACGAGGGGATCGTCGTACCTCTGTGACAATTCTACTTTCTTTTTTTACGCTTATTTGGGGTGAAATGTGTTTTTAAGGGGGGTCAAAATTACTCACCTTAAAGCAGCGAAGTCATTCGCTTCGACGAGCGGCTGTCATCAACGTTCAAAAAAATGAACAAAATTCTCAGGTTCTCTTCGTAATTTAAACTTTCCTTTCGTGTTCTGCGTGTTTTCGTCTCATTCTTGCAGAAAACAAATGAGCAAGAGGGAGGAACACTTCCGCCTTCTTCAGGTGACAGGTCACCTATACTGCCCCGCAGCGGCAGAGAGTGTGTACTACATATCTCCAGTTACGGTTTAGATTAAGGTTCAATGAGCAAATTTTTTCTTTGACTTCAAGCCGTGTTTTCAGTGACTAATTTTAACATTTTAAACTGACTGCCATTTATCTTTAAATGTATCTATGCAGACAATTTTAGGAGTATAATGACGACACGCTGTTTATATGTATTCTGACTGAACAGATTGAAGAGGCTTCTGCGAGGCTCCCTCTTGTGGTTATTTACTGGTATCGCAATGAAGAAGACAAGACCGCAGCACAAAACTGGGAAATTGTTTAAAATGTTTAATACATTAAATGTACAAATGGTATTTGAAATAATGTTATAGGTCACTTCCAGCAAATTAAAACGTTGCATTAAATGCAACCACCAGGTGACTTCACATTATTAAAATGTTCTAAGACGTCTACTAATATTTTATTTGAGTAAATATGACCATTAGGAGTCCATCAATGCAATTAAAATATTTTCATAACATTTTAAATACATAAAACTGTTGTCTTGTCCAGGGAAACCAAGACAACTAAAGTATTTATAAAAAAAAATGATTAGATTCATTTAAGAAAGAAAACCAAAAAAAAACATGGAGGGCCACCGTTCACAGATCTGTCAAGGGACCCTTCTCCCCCTCCGCGTCTTGCGCTCTCATTTTATCTTGTTGGGAGGTGGCGAAGGCCAGCGCAATCAGCATTTTGAGAAGCTACACAAAGAGTACAGACTAGTGCATGTGCAGGCAACTTTGCTTATCCACAAAATAACTGCTCAGCATTCATTAGTACCAACAGTTACTTCCATTTAGCTTACATTATATGTTATATAGGTGATATAGGTTATAGGTTATATGTCAAATTCCCATTACACTGTCTGCAGGATTAAGGAGGCCAAATGTAACCCTCTTCAAGCCATGAAATCTTCTCATTCTGTACTTATAAAACAAATACAAAAACAAGCTGGGGAATTAACTACTCCTTTGAACATATAACTGTGATGATGTTTGTATTACTTACTTTTACTTTTATTTTCCTTTCATAATTTTTGTTTGCATTTTGTCATGTTATTGTATGTTTTATATATGTTCAATAAACAAACAAACAAACAATTAAATGACTGGTGAGACACAAGCCATGTGCAAATTGTTTATTTTGGAATCTACAGCAGAGGGGTTGAGAAAAGTGTTTGCAGAAGATGTGACAAGCGGAACTTTTTCAAAACTCTTTTGACATTCAGCACAAAACGGGACAACACGACACACGGTAAACCTCCAAACCACACTCGCGCCGATAAAAGAATAGGAATCTGCTCCAAAACCACACAATGCGGAACAAGCAACTCGATGAACTAAGGCAATGACAATGACAGCAAGAATAATAAAAGATGTCGGTTAGCCATGGAGATTGAGGAATGTGTTGTTTTGCGGAGACATCTCAAGGTTGCTAATACGAGCTTTGCTAGATTTTGGTGAAACGGCGGGAAGAAGGCGTCAAGCGGACCACCGGAACACCACTCGAAACTCCCGCGGTGATTATATATTTAGGTATATATTCTGTGTATTACATTCCACACGTCAATGTCTAAAAGAGAACAGTACTCGGATACAAAAAGATTGCATTGTTTAGGCAAAGTGGACTACGGTTACACGAGAAAAGGTGGCCTTGCTATTTGCGCTTTTTCTACCGACATTCAACGGTTCGCTCATACTCGCGTCGCTTTTCCACTGCGACATACCAGCCCCCCACCCCTGTTGAGAAAACCACGAGTAAAGGAGAAAATTTTGATCTAAAAGGAGACTGAGGGCTTTTTTGCAGCCTAGTGGAGGCTATTGCTCAAGCTAACACAAGCATGTGTTTTGTTTTTTTTTTTTACAATTTTTCGACCATCACACTTGGAACCCTGTCTGAAGAAATACTAGAAAATAAAGAGATAGTACTTATCTCAGTAAAGGAGGAAAACGTGATCCAAAAGGAGACTGTGGATCAAGCTAACATGAAGCATTCATTTGGAACCCTGTCTGAGCCCGAAATAGTACTTTGTGCCGACATGTCTTGTAGGGACCATGCAGTGGAAAAGGGACGTTAGCGCGAGCTCCATCACAAAAAATAAGCCCTCCGTATAAAAACACTAAAACGTCAATTTTCGTCCCGCATTGAAAGCTAACCAGCAATCGGAGTCAACTACGAGCAGCTCTTCACTATCACGCTTGGTCCAAATGAACACGACGATAATCTGCTCACCCTTTAAATATATCTCAACATGATATCGGAGAGACAATAATAAAAAAACAACAACAAAAAAAAAACATCATCGCGTGCGCGCCTTCTTGTCAGTGGGGTGCCTGGACGGCACGTGCGGGCGGCGCGTCCTCGGCCATCTGCACCAGCTCGTTGACGGTGTGCAGCAGGTTGTAGCCGTGCTTGCGTAGCAGACGCTGGTTGAGACGCCGGTCTCGGAAGCCCATCTCCAGCAGCATGGCCATGAGGGAGGGGTCTTGGCGCGCCGCCGGGTCCACGCCGCGCTGCCGAGACCGAGAGCTGCGTTATGACTCCGCCTTCCAATAATCAAGGCCATGTGCGGGGATGTACCTGTATGGGACAGTTGGGCCCGGTGAATAGAGCCTTATAAGCGGACGCCGCCACTGAGAGGGCCCCCTTGACCAGGCCCTCGGTGAGGCCCCCTTGAGCCCTGAAATGACCACAACAATAAATGTCTTCATTAATCCACGATGAGGAAGAGGAGCACGATGAAGGAAGACTCACCTGGGCTGCAGTGCGTTGCTGGGTCTGGGGTTGTACGTCTCAAAGGCGCTGGATGCTGATCCTGCCGATCTGGACAGGCCCGATGAAACTGCAAAAATAGGATACTGGAGATTTAATAAAAAAAATAAAAAAACACACACACACAACAACAATGCTGGCGTGAAGGAAAAGGAAGAGCGGCTTCTGCTGAACTGACAAATCGTGACAGCCTTATTTCCTTTCCAACGCAGGGTTTCCTCTTGCAACCCGAAAGAAAACAAATCCTCCTCACGCAACAAAGTGGCACCACGAAGGACGCCGGCATATTTTGTGAACTCATTAGTCCCGGAGCAGTCGTGCAGGGTTGCATATTGCCTTATAACCGCTTGAGGTTGGCTAAATGGTCCCTATTTGAACCCTTTCATGCACCCTGTAACCCGATCACATGATCAGCCGTCCACTGTCGTGACCGCTGCCCCCCGGAAGAGTTCAAATGTGTTCATGGCAGGCCTCACCACTGGCGGGGACCCTCGGCGTGTGCGATTCATCGACTGCGTGACACGCATCCTCCGCCAGGTACAACGCCTCTGACCTGGGACAATAAAAAAAAAAAAGTTGATAAGAGACAATAAGCACATCACAGCAAGTTTGGTACCATGTCAAGTTCGCTTGAGTGATCGTGTGTCAAGTCATCGGCTAACAGGAAGTGACCTTGTGACTGAAGGACGTTGACAAGGTTGCTCAAATGACCATCGAACATGAAGCCGACTCGGTTGCGAGTGCGCTCGAAGAACAGGAAGTGCTAAAACGGCATGAAACAAAGTACACGTCTCACCTGGGCGAGTAGATAGCCGGCGGCGGGGGGACCACTTCCGGGATAAGCGTGGCGGCGTCCAGAGACTGCGAGGCGCAAAGCATCTGGTTGACGCTGGTGTGGATGGCGAGAGCGGGCGAGGGCGCGGCGTCGCATTCCAGGTCCTCGTCATTCTCCATCTGCGCCACGTCATCCACGTTGTCCTCTTCTTCCGGTGGCGGCGGAGGTGGCGAGGCCCCGCCGGCGTCTGATGCGTAGTCTTCCTCGCGCAACGGCTCGGGGCTGGCCAGCGTGGCCGTGACGACGGCGTCGGGTTGCGACATGGCCGAGCTGTACATGGACTCGCCGAGTGGACGAGTCGTGTCGAAGCAGTCGGGGAGGACGATGATGAAGTCGTCGCAGGAGGACGACGACGATGTTTGGCTGCTCACCTAAAAAAAAAAAAAAAAACAATCAAAGAAAGTGCGACGTTTGACCAGCTTTTATTTTGAAGACACTTTCAAGCTGAAACCTGGCGCTCACCTCATCCCAGTCGTCCCCTTTCTCTTCCTTACAATCCTTCGCATTTTCATCGTCATCGTCCTCATCGTCATCAGCAGGCAGGCCGTCGCCAGGCGCTTCCGACGCAGCTTTCGGTGAACCGACAGAAAATTCATCAGGATGTGTCTTCCGGATGACGCACTTGTTGTTGCGCCTCACCTGGTATTGTTAGCGCGCAAATCTCATTTCCTTCTTGCTCGCCGTTCGCAGGCGGCGGCTCCTTCTCAACGCCGCAACTCGGACCGCGTGAGACAACTGCGGGAGAGGAAAGTCAAAATGGTCATCGCCGAGTACCAAGAAATCCTTTACTGTTCTTGAGCATGTCATGGCGTGTCGTGGCGCTTCCTCACCCTGCGCCTGGCGGCCGGCATGTTGCTGACTCCTGCGCAGCGGCCTGTGGTCGGGGGCCTCCTCCAGTGTGAGCGAGCGCATGACCGTCTCGCACAGGAACTGAGCGCCGCTGATCTCCTCCTCGCGCTCCTCGTCCGGGGCCGCCGCCTCCCACGGCTGCTCCCTCGGGTGCCTCGGTTTTCCGACTTGAGTACGGAAATCATCCTCATGAGACTGCGTGTTTTACAAGCGCTCTACTTGTACATGATTAAGCTCCTTACCAAAAACCTTTCGGACGCCTGTGACCTGTGTGTCGTCTTTGACCTGTGCGGTGAGTGTCTTCTCCGGCACTGGTGCATCGTGGGGCATAGGGGAGATGCAAGGTGTTAGATCTAAAAAATTTTTAAAAAAAAGAGGGGTGGGGGGGCAATGTGTCAAATTGCAAGACAGAGCTAAGGTGAAGAAAAATGATTCAAATAAGAGTTAATAGGTGAAAATTGTCCTACTACTAGGGCACGCCATCCGTACTTACCCACGGGGGTGTTGTTGGGGACCTTCTCTAACTCCTGCACAATGTTTATATCCATCAACTCAAAGGACAAAAGATCCTAAAAAAAAAAAATCACAATCTGTCATTGTGGCTCTGCGCGCGCTTGTGTGTGTGCAGTCGCAGGTACGCACCTGAGCAGTCAGCAGGTCCACGTAAGGCAGGAAGAAGCCGTTGTGGCTGATGTCCACGGACAAGCCCTCCTTGGAGCGGACTGCCTCGTCCTGTGCTCCCGGCCTCATCTGCTCCCTCTGACAAGAACAACAATGTTGGAAACATCAGCCTCACCTTTGAAGCAGCGGGAATTGTCCTCAGTGATCAAGTTGACTCAATGCATCATTGTGGTCACGTACTGTCCGACCTCGCCGCCCACTTGTGGCATCGTCACCCGCATCCCGGATGCTGTTTGTGTATTCTAGCAAATGGACGTATGACTCACCAGTCGCTTCCGGTGCTGCTCAAGTGCATTGAGGCCATTGCCGGGCTCGACCACGATGCTGCACCACACGCGCGGCCCGAACTGGTGGCCGCGGTGCGCCAACCTCCAATGGGAGGTGTACGTGCCCTCCATCACCGGCGCCACAAAGGTCACGCTGACCACGCCCACTTGGCCCGGCAGCAGAAGGGGGACGGGCACCGACCTCCTCTCCTCCGACGCCAGGCCGAGGTTGCCCCACATGAACACCAGCTGGGCAGATGCGCGGACACACACGTGGCACACAGTATAGCAATCCACACGCAAACCGGTGTGGAAGCACGGTTGCCTAAATTGATTTTTTTTTTTTTTTTGTACATCTTCCTGTCAAAGGGGTCAAATCCAGGTCCAGAAAGTAAAAACACGGCTCTCAAAGGGGTCTGGGAGTGCCATGCGGAACCCTTTGAAAGCTCGGTGCTAACTGCTAACTGGCGGCCGACCAATGGCGTTTTAACTTACTGCTTCTGGTCATAGTATCCATTTTAATGTCCATTTAAGGACCGTTTAATGCTTTTTAATGACCCATGGAAGCTCCGTCATTTGAAAATGGTAACACGGGAAGATATTTGTTCGAAATAAACTGTTGTTGATATCGCATATAGCTAGTCATCTGTTTCCTAATTACTGTGAGGAATAGCAATCAAGTGTCTTTACATCCACGAATGATTCATTATCAAGAATAGCATTTAATAATATTAAAAGTCATTTGAGCAAAATGTGTTCTTTCAGACGTTTGTTGCAAACTGGAGGCCCCTCACATTAATCAGGACCCGAGAAGTAGCTGCCGGCTTCAAAAAGGTCCGTGGGCACTGCTGTAAAATGTTCCCTGACTATTTCCAGGTCACAGGGACTCATCCCTTCCATGGGTTGTGAAAATCGGCAAGTGACAACACCCAAAATTGTCTATAAGAAGGCAACTAGCTACTTTTGTTTAAATGAAGCTCCTCAACCTACTTCGACATAGCTCCCTTGCACCAATGTCACAAGACGAACTTTGGCCTGAGCACAAATTAGTCGTCTCAGTAGTTTCCGCAACGGCTATTTGTAAATATGCAGTGCTTCGCTTTTTGTGAGTCGTGTAGATTTGATGATCGGGGAATGTTAAGAGGGGAAAAGGGTCTCAGAGTGAAGCGGCAGAAAGGGGGTCAAAGAGTGGAGGCTGTCCTCTAGGGGCGGGGGTGGCAGATAGGTGCGAAGGAGTACCTTGGTCTCGGGGGTCCAGTCGATAGTGCCCGAGTTCCTCATCTTCCAGTATTTGATGAACTTGGTGCCGGGCTCCAGGCGGGTGCCGTCCGGCAGATTTTCATCCAGAAACAAGGCGGCCATAGTGGGCAGCAAGGACGAGTGCGAGGCCCCGGGACCCCTAGTTTCAAGTGTACAGAGCATTGTTGAAAATGGCCCTGCGCTCTCACTCTCATCTCTTTTTGTTGTTGTTTACCAATTTAAAAAAAAAAAAAAAAATGTCAGGAGCCCAGATTTGTGTGTGTGCAGCTCAAAAGCATTTCTCATAGAAAATCTATGAAGCAGCAGCAGCAGCAGCAGCAGTTTTCATACTGAGGTAGTTCCGACATTTCCTCACCAGTGCAGAGCAGCCAGCGACACACTCATACAGACTAGATTACAAAGATGGCATTTTCGTGGAGAGGAAAAAAGGAAAAAAAGAAAAAAAAAAAAGACTTTTTGCATCCATGCTGGATTCGAGGTACCCAGCACTTGTTGGACGCCCCTCCCAGGCGGCGCTTACTCTGGACTGGAGGCCTGGGGGTCGGGGGCCGGGGCGGGGACGGGACCTGAGGCTGTGTCTGAGGCTGCGGGCGGGGGTAGCGGGGCGGGGGCCTGGGTGGAGGCGGAGGCCGTGTTAGTCAGGGCGGCGGCTCGGCCCGAGGTAGAGGGCCCGCTCCACTGCATGCCCCGTTTTTCCAATCTCAGTTTCTTCTTGATTTCCTTCACTTCGGCTCGCAGCTGCCTCCTTTCTGCTTTGAGGCGCTGTCGTTCGGCCTTGCGCACCGTCCTGTCTCCTCGCCGTGGGAACCTGGTTTGGGATGTTAACAGGGAGACCTTCTTGTTGACTACATTTGCTCTTAAAATTTCACCCCGTTTCAAACAATCTTCACTTTACCTCAATTCTCCCGACATGCCGTGCTCGGGGATGGACAGGGGCGTCTTGGTTCTCACGAGGTTGTGGCTGGGGTCGTGGCTGTGCCGACACATCTCACACAGGATGCAGGACGGGCAAACGCTAGCGGGGAGAACGAGACCAAATGAAAAGTGGGTCCAAGGGCCACATCAACGGGCAATATATTCACAACTAACATTACTTGAAACCAGTTTTAGGGAAAAAGTGGCCAACTGGAATTGACAAAAATTACATTGTGAAAATGCTTGAGAATCTGCCAGATGACAAAATACTGCGCTTGCGCTTTCTACCTGCACTTGTAGGCTCCTTCAGAGGTGAGTTTGTTGCAGCTGCTGCAGTTTGGGGTGTAACCGAGAGACCCGCTGGAGGTGGAGGGGCCCGGCTTGGGCCCCACGGTGGCGGCGGGGGGTCCGGGCCTGGGCCCCATGACGGGAGCGCAACTGGGGCCGCTGGCCTCGGGAGGCGGCGGCGCGGGAGACTTGTGCGTACAACACTGGCCCGAGAAGTCGCTGCACATGCGCTCCACCACCTCCTTGACCACCTCGTCTTTAAACTGTGAAGAAAGTCCATTAGCCCAGGTTGGGGGGTGGGGGGGGGTGTTAAATATAAACCGAGGATCCCCCTTTACCTTCTCCATGTAGGATCTGAACCACATGGGAGGAGGTTCATCTTCTGCTTTGGACCCTTTGTTGTCCTTGGCGGTCACCTGGGGAACAACCCCAAATTTTAGCCAAGGCAGTCGACAACCATTCAGCCTCACAAACACATTTATGGAAAATTTAGTCTTCAATTAACCAGTCCGGTTAAGATTGTTTTCTTTCTACAGCGTTACGTCAAAGCACGTTTGACTCATGGTTTTCGGACGTGCGGTGTGGAGGGGTGTGTGGTGGCATCAAGAACAAAGCACTACACACCCACACAGGTTTGCAACCAGCTCATAAATGCGAGAGTGGAAAAACTGGTTGGCACTGCGGTGAAATGAAAGCTGTCTGAACCTGATACAGAGCCACTGCCAACAAGACTTGATATTTAAAGAGGAAGAGTCGGTGTTGGCCGTAGAGGAAGCAGCTACGGGGCATGTTAAGTAGACGCAGGATGAGCCCATTGTCTAAAAAGGTGAAGGGAAAAAATGCAAAGGTGTGGCTTGAGGAAGCTTGAGGGACATTGCTTTTTTTTCCCCATAACTACAATGTGGCTTCCAAATATGTTGGACAACACGAAAAGAAAAAAAAATGCCTCACAGACATCCACCAAAGCAAAACTCTGAATAATGGTTTCTTACAGCTTCTCGCTCCGGGGTGACTTGCGTGCCCTTGTCCACCGTCTTGACCCGCGACGGGTATGGGGGTGCCGGTCGGAGGTCGCCCTTCAGTTCTTTGACCTCCGTCTTGAGCGGCCCACCGCAGGCCTGTCCCTTCATTTTGTAGACGTTCATGATGAGGTGGTTGCCCTGCTTCTCGGCACTCTGCGCGCAAACAAGCACATGTGACACATGACTCATAGTCAACAACAGCACTCTAAAAACATAATATTGTGCTTAGCAACGTACACCAACAGAATGGGGGATTTGTTTGTGTTTGCGTGTTGTGAAATCAGATCAACTACACTTTTCATCTTGCATGAGAACGTTAGGTAAACACCTTCAGGGCAACCGCTCTACCAACTACGCCACTAGCTGGCAGTGGCACACTTCCACTGGCGCAGAATTTGTACTTCTAGTTCTTACGCGATTCTGGGCAAAATAATGCTAGGTGGCGAGTTGCCGGTGACAGCAAAATAACCATTATGAAGGAAAAAAAAAATCCATCATCAAAAAAATAATCTCAAATTAATAAACAAAACTAATTGACCAGTCCTTGTGTTAGGGAGCATAAAAGAATGACATCTTTGCTACAACACCTCTGCATCATATGTGTCTATGATCTCACCTTTTAGTTTGCTATCATAAAATTGTAAGAACGACAAAAGCTTATGAAATCAGCAGTACCTTGATGGCTTCCTCGTACTCGTCTGAAACAACAAAATTTTCAGTTTAGTGATTTGGAAAGCAAAACAATCGAGCTTCTCCTTTAGTTCGTTTTTCTAAACATGGATCAGCTGCGGAGAAAGAAACAGGTATTTCTTACCTTGACTGTTGATGCAAATCTAAAGAAATGAAGAGGAAGACATTTGGGTGAATACTTTAAACAAAGCATACAAACATTAGGTCATCACGTGTACACATCGTAATAATTCTTACCTCTTCGCTGTCCTCGTCAAAGTACTTGACTTGGAAGTGGTTAATTCCGAATGACGCTTTAATCTGGAATGGAAGCAGACATTTGTATTGGCTCACACTCCGTAAACCGCTACCACGTAAAACTCGACCGTTGTGGCGGTGTCGATTTAAAAGTCGATTACGTCTCCCGTACGCTTATTGTTTTTTTTTTCATAAAGTGTCCGATTAAAACAGTGAGCGTCTTAATGTGGCCACTTTTGAGGCTAGGCCACGTCCGGGCCTAGTTCTCCCCGAACTGCGCCAACACACTCGGCTAGCAGCTCACCCAGGCTTCCACCGAGCTCCACTCCAGCTTGTCCAGTTCGCCCGCCAGGAATCTCTTGACGTTTCCTCGAAAATTGACTTTTATGGTCACCGGGAGCCCCATTTCGGGCGGATCGCGAGTCCAATCCCCGAAAAAAAGTGCCTTTGAATCCGAAATGTCGCCGGTGCGCTCGATTTCCCTGTTGAGCTCGACTGTCTTCTCTTGTTTACATCGTCAGCTGCGTCGAGAAAAATACGGTGACGTATTCTGCGCACGCGCATTTTCCAGTTCCTGTCTGAACACCCTCCCCCCTCAGGATGGTCGCGCTCTAATGTCGTCATCATCGCGCTCACCGACACCAAGTGTGGCTGGCAAGCTGTAAAGCCACACGTTTTCCCCCCTCCCTCCAAGTCCATTTTAATGCTGTTGGGACGCTCGCTTTTCGCCTATCTGACAGCATAAAATGTCTTCACTGCTCAAGGTGGACAATGAAATTAAAACCAAGGTACGATCCCTGCTGCCGCAAGTCCCACTTGAAGCTTGAAGTTTGCTAGATCGCGTTAGCTTCACTTTTGGTAGCATGATGTGAATGATCGGGCCGTGCTAGCCGGCTTCTTTCTCGCTTAGTCCAACGCAGCTGTCAACGCTTGCAACGATCTAGCGATATTTCACCAGCACAGGCCAGAATTTGTTTTCCCGATTAATTTGTCGCCACTCCCCGGGTTGTAAGTGTAATAAATGATTAGGAACACATGTAGAGGGAAAGGCCCTCTTGGCTAGGAGCGACCGGGTTAGCCTAATGGAGCAGACGCAAGGGGACAAGAATGGTGTCATCCTCCTTTCTACCGACCCGTAAAAATGACCCTGGGATTTTGTGGTTTACAGGGTTTCTCCTAAACACATTCATATTCATGGCAAATTCCAAGACATTTGTAATTTTGCAAAAGTCTTTTATTTCCAGATCTGTAAACATGTGTTTTTGTTTGTAAGAGACTAAAACACAATAGCATAACTCATATGTCATATATAAATAATAGTATTATTATAAGAACTTTTTTTCTCCTCCTTGTGTTCAGGTTGATGCATTTAGAGAACGTATCACTGCAGAAGTAAGTATTAATGGACTGGAAGATGGACGCTGAGCGCAAACTAGCAGAAACCTGTTGTGTTTTATTCCATTTTATTGTCACAACATTCTCAAAGCTGTTCTTTTTGTTCAGGCCGAGGACTTAGTTGCAAATTTTTTCCCAAAGAAGTTACTGGAACTCGATCACTTCCTTAAGGTCAGTGTCCCTTGGATGCTTTTAAAGTTTATTTCAGGGACCCTTGAGCATACTTGCCGCTCAGCATGAAGTTTCTTCTTTTTGTTGCCTTGCGCGCAGGAGCCAATCATCAACATCGTCGAACTGAAGGAGATCCACTCGGACATCAACCTGACGGTGCCCGACCCCATCCTACTCTCCAACCTTCACGATGGACTTGATTCGGTGAGCCTCCATTTAACCGCGACATCATCGCTAGTCCCGAGCTTGCCGTCGAATCATCTCGTGCTTGTGTCGTCTCAGCAAAACGCCAAAAAGAGAAAGCTGGAGGACGGAGACGTAGAGGACAAGGGTGAGTTCCACACAGCGTCGGGCTTGTATGGAGAATGCCGGCCCGTCGCTTATTTCTTCTTCATCCCCCGCCTAGTGACCGGCACCAAGGTCTTCGTCATGCCTGGCGGGATGATGAAGAGTAACGGCAACCTGGTGGATCTTATCGAAAAGGTCAAACCGGAGATCCGAACGCTCATCGAGAAATGCAACACGGTGAGTGTCGTTTGAATGAGGGGAGAGACGGACGGACGGGCGGACTCGAAGAGCGGTCGGCGAGCTTGACGCTGTCGTTCCGCGCAGGTCAAAATGTGGGTGCAGCTGCTGATTCCAAGGATAGAGGACGGCAACAATTTTGGGGTGTCCATCCAGGAGGAGACGGTGGCCGAGCTGAGGACGGTGGAAGGCGAGGCGGCCTCTTACCTCGACCAGATATCCCGGTCGGTCCAGACACTGTGTTCTACGGACGTAGATTCCAAATCTTTTAGTGGCCTCACCATCCCAATCTCTTCTGATTTCGGCCTGCCAGGAGGGCATCTGAAAATTCTTGAATTAATTCATCACTGTTGCATAGTTAAGATAAAAAAAAAAAAAACATCTGGCTCAAAAATCTTGCTTGATTATTATAATAAAACAATGCGCATAGATGAAAACATCACTTTTTTTTCTCCTTTTGACAAAGTTCCCTTCGGTTCAATCTCTTTTTGAATATGTAAATATTAGTATGAATATATAATTCATCACTATAAGAGGCTTCAAAAAAAAAAAAAAAAACAATCACCCAAAATAGATCTTTGCGCATTCCTGCTGACAAAACCGGAATGAATGAACCTTTCAACGGACTTGCTAACATTGAGACGTTTGTCTTGTCGCAGATATTACATCACCCGAGCAAAGCTGGTTTCGAAAATAGCTAAATATCCACACGTGGTAAGTCCTTGTAAATCCACGACGGCAATTTTGGCTCGGCCGAGAGCAATCGAAAGAAATAAGCTTGCTGTGCGTTTGTCTGCCAGGAGGACTATCGGCGCACGGTAACGGAGATCGACGAGAAGGAATACATCAGTCTGAAGATCATCGTGTCAGAGCTTCGAAATCAATACGTACGTCTAACCCCGGGCCGCGGCGGTCGGACGGTTGGGCTCGGCTCAAGGGCGCTCACGCCTCGTTCGTTTTCCGTTTGCAGGTGGCGTTACACGACATGATTCTGAAGAACATCGAGAAGATCAAACGGCCCCGGAGCAGTAACGCCGAAGCCTTGTACTGAGCGCCGCCAAACTCCACGCCCGCCCGCACGTTCCGTCATTTCAGTACAATCAAGCAAACCCCGTATGTAACAAAGATGGACACCACACTTTTTTTTTTTTTTTTTAAATCGCAAGAGACTTTTTTCTTTTTCCTCCAGTTTTAATGACCTCAAATGGTCGGGAAGTCGCATAAGCAAGAGTGTACTTTTTAATTTGAAAACGTCGGAGTGGCTTTTGTTCTTAGTCTGAGCAATGGTTGGCAAGGAATATTATGTCGTACGGTCAGCTTCTAGGTCCACAAAAAAAAAAATCACCTGATTAAAATACTGATTCTACTGAATAAACTTTTTTTTTTTTTTTAAAGAAATGTGGCATTTTTTTTTTTTTTTTTTAATTTCAATCAACTCGGTGTTGTAGTTTGGACTTGGCCAGTACACAGACTCTCCACATTGCGATAATTCGACTCAAGGACTCTCTACGTCATTCAACTGTTATCCGCGCCGGTGTGACGATGTAAAGTGATAACGTAAAAAACAAATGTCTTTCTGAGGGTTTTCAGTTCATCTTGAACAACAATAGTTGAGGGAAAAGCACATTAAATACGCGTTTGTTTCCCCCAAGATAAGATAACGCGTGAAAACACGCTACGCGCACGCTGGCAAAAACACCGCGACGTTGCGCAACCTTGCTGACTGTTCACACTTATCTTCGCGGGCCTTCCTCTCACTTTGGTCCTGATATATGTTGACGAGACAGATAAGACGGCTGCCGAGGACGGAGATTTGCCGGCGCGAAACTATCACAAGGTTATGATGTCATACGCGTGGATGTTCTCCTCGAAACATTGCGCCGCTTACATGTTGTACTCTCGTAAAACGCTATCGCATGCAATATGGTTGTACACAGTCGGGAGTATGATAAACATGAAGTTAACACCTACAGAAAAAGTTGACTTTCAAAAGTGAATTCGGCAATAACTGGCATCAAATGAGCGCGAAGTACGCAAGACGAGTTAGCATACCAAATCTGAGTACCGCTATGCTGACTCTCGTCGGCATAAAAATGATGCAAGTGAATCAAGGGACGGACTCGAGTTAACAGCAAATTACTTTCCCATTAGCCATTTTTTTTTTACATTATTTCTGACTGAGTGAGAGATACTCTCCTATTACTCTCATTATATAACACTAGCTACTCTTAAGCTAACATGTAGCTAACGTAGCACATTTTTAAGGCATCTTACAGAAAGCGTAAACCGATAAATTTGTCAGCAAATAGTTGTTACTTCTTAACTGCAAAAAAAAAAAGTTTGTGAATGCCGAGAAGCGAATGGTTCAACAATGAAAGTATGAATTTGTAAAAGCCGGACTCCTTGATACTTTTCGTACACTGAGTGCGGCACGCATGTCGCTCCTCAAGACCAATTGTGCTCCTTGATCGCGTGGCGTGTGTGTTGGACGGAGCGTCACTATGTGGGCCAGCCGAGTGTGCAATGCGTGCTCGGGTTAATGTTTAATGCACTCAATTAATCAGTATCTGTGCAAGGCGTCTCATGGAAAAAAAACATTGGGCTATTACTGGAAGCTTTCATTGGAAAGCTAATGACTAATTTTTTTTTTTTTCATCCAAACATTGACTGGCAAGCTAAAAAAAGCGTACAGCTGCACAGCAAAAAAATAGAACAAGCACAGCGAATATTTTGGAGATGTTCTCCATACATTTCAAGAATCAGACCGCGAATACAAATGGATGAGCGGAAGCTTAAGTCGGTAGTTATGTCGGTAACTTGACAGCGAAGGAGGCTGGTTTGAGTTTATCCGAGTATATTTAAGGAATGGATACATGATGAAATGAGTGCTGTATGAAGCTGAAGCCAGGCGGCAGAGAACAGAGTTCAGCATTTAGCCACTTAGCTAACACCTAGCTCGTCTCTGCCTTTCATTTAAAATCAAAAACTAGCGTCGTGGATCCGGCATGTGCAGACAGGCGCAATACACATACAATAACTCTTAGCAAAAAAACAAAACACAAGACTAGATTTTGTTTCCATGCTAGCACACTAGCATTGCCCAAAAGTTCCATGCAAGTCACAATTCAGCACCAAAAAATGAATTCCGCCGATCACAAGTTCTTGCCGCCTGCGCCTCTTGTGCTCATCCAGCAGAGCGCCCGTGGGGCTAACGCGGTTGGGATTAAAAGTGCGACTGCACTCTTACCGAAGGACAAGCAGTAGAAAAGCACCAGGTTTTCCGAGGAAAACGTCCACGAGTCTAAGAGCCCAAGTAGTCCCTGAGAGGTGACAACGCACCACGCCTTGAAAGCGGCGGAGGTGCCACGCGCGGGCGATGAGTGCAGGCCCAGGCCCAGACCAAAAAGGCTGCCCATGTTCCGTAGGAGGCTAGCGAACGGCGTGCTGTCCATGTGCACCCATTCGGCCCTGGCGCACCACCTCTGGGCTTTCTCCAGGGTCCACAGAAGGTCCACGCCCAGAATCTTAAGCAGCAGGTAGAAGCCAACGGCGAAGGACGTCAAGAGGAGGGTGGTGAAGGCGTACGTCCCGAAGCTGGCACCATGGATCCATTTCACCTTTGACATGACTTCAGCCACCATCACGCCTGACAAATTTCAAAAGTCAGTCAACTTTCCGATAATCTATCCGAATACGCCTTGACTAACCTGTGACGAGCCCGGCAAGGACCTGGTGCGGGAAGTGGGCCGCCATGTAGACCCTGGACATGCACACTCCCAGCAACACCAGGCCCATGAGCACCCACAGAACCAAACGCAGGAGTCTGCCAGAAAGGACAGCGGGAGTGCCAACAGCTCGACATTCAAAGCGTTAAACCGCCAGGTCGTCGTCACTCACTTGTACAGTGACGGCGGACATCGTTTCTCCGCCGCCATTTGGAGTACGGCCGTCACCATCACATACCAGACCCCTGCGGCACCCATGGCATGACCGGAGGGACTTCCTGCAATCGAGCGGTTTGAAGTTGGCTCGTATCGACTCACGTCTCGCCCGTCACAAACGTGCGAAAGACAACATGTAGGACCGAACTTTGGAAGCCAGTCAAAACATGATACGATCAAAAACCGAGAGTGACCGGATCAATACTCTCAAGAAAGAGCAATCTGTCATAAAGTGTACCTGGTCCGGTTTCACATGTGATGGCAAACTGCTGCAGCGAAGGGGCCTCTTTGGCCCCATAGAAGTGGGTCTCATGAACCCACCAATAGGGTCTCTCTCCAAAAAGAACCCTGCCACAGAAAGACCAACACACTCAAAACCCCCCAATCGGTTCTCGCTCAATTCCTCATCTGACCATTACCATTTTAGGACCAGATTGATCCAATCCCCCACGACGGCCACCCAGATGAGCCGCAGGCCTGCGTCCCGCCGCAGATGGAACCAGATGGGGAAGAAAAAGAAGAAGGTGGTGTGCAGATCAGCCACGACAGAAGCAAGACTGAACAGGTCCTCGTAGTCCTTGTATTTGGTCTGGAGGTGCACCGCCAGCTCAACCCCCCAGCTGTGGACCAGATCCATGACACCAGACTTTTTATTTTCCACCCCCCGAGAAGAATGCGCTCTGGGGTCTTTTTTTTTTTTTTTTAAAGTGGTCTGTCAGAACGCCGTGCAGCTCTGTCCCCTCGATTGGGTCTGTGTGTGATCCCCATTGGACTTTACTCAAGGCTAGCAGGCTTGTTTGCCTTTTGGACAGTCCCGACAGGTTCCTTAACCTCGTGCACCCCCCCTCACCCCAGCCGCTGCTGAAATCCATAATTAGAGAACTCAGTGGCTCACTGACTTCCTGGAAAACATTTTCTCAACTGTCGTCTGACTCCAACCTTCTTTGCTCATCCACGTTGCCTTGCGCGGATGCGGTCCTTCCGAGCGGGGAGTGACATGACCTCATTTTTGCGAGGACTTCCTTTCTGGCAAATCCAATCATTTACTTGCTTGGGACCGACCAATTGGAAATATCCGTTTTATCAGACTGAATCTGCTCGAGTACCGTCATTCAATCATTGATTGCGTTATGCAATCGATAAGTGGCTGAGATGTTTTCTCCAAATCGCAAAAGACAATTACATAACTGACAGGCCCTTCTGAGCGGGAGAGAGTGAGGCCGAGTGCAGAACATGTAAAAAAAAAAATGTGCAATGACAAATGACTCACAAAATGGGTCATTTCACTGACAAATTTGTTTTTTGGTCATCATGTGCCACCTCCGGTAAATTCGACAGATGCGCCAGACTGTGACGCTCTTGTTTTTTTTTTTTTTTTTGGTTCCCCCCCTCCCACTTTCCAGCATGTTTGTGTGCCAAGGCTGCCAAACTCTCCCGACTCATAGTGTTTTATTACACATGTGCAAGGTCCAAAGATCAACATGAGCATGCGTCAAGGTGGTGGTCTGCCGGGCTATAAAAACAAGCGGCTGTGTCACCGCCGGCGACACTCGAGAGTGACTCGCGCGCTGACGATGCTTCACGCCGTCATGGACGACATGCAGGGTTTCGGGGTGAGCAGCACCCGCTACCTTCAGACCCACTACCAGGACGCCCAAGGCTTGTTCCTTTGGGTGTCGTGGGCGGCGGACCTCAGGAACACTTTCTTCATCTTCTTCCCGCTTTGGTTCCACCTGCGGCCCTCCGTCGGCATCAAGCTCATCTGGGTGGCCGTCATCGGCGACTGGCTCAACTTGGTCTTCAAATGGTGAGGCGGGATCAAATCCGACGAAGAGAGTATCGGAACGACTAAGTGCCCATTTCTGTTTTCAGGATTCTGTTTGGGGAGAGGCCCTACTGGTGGGTCCACGAGACGCATTATTACGCCGACGGCGTTCGCCCTGATATTGAGCAGTACCCCATGACCTGCGAGACGGGACCGGGTATGGAAAAACTTGAAGGTGACACTGCTCAGAGGGTCACGCCATCAACTAAAATGTCCTCTTTGCCATCCAGGGAGCCCCTCCGGTCACGCCATGGGAGCGGCAGGTGTCTACTACACCTTGGTGACGTCCATTCTCGCCGTCACGGCGAGTAAGAAGAAACACGGTGGCAGAAAGTCCTCCAACAACAGGTGACTTCAAAAAGCCTCATTTTGTTGACTTTTTTTTTTTCCTTTTTAGCCAGCGCTTATCACATTGTACCTTCTGTCCTAACACACGGTTGATCATTGACTCTTGGCTATCGAGTTGTTTTTGACATCCAGGCGAGCTGAAGTTGCTCCAAACAAGACGAGAGTGATAGCAATGATTCCGTAGCTTCTTTTTTTTTTTTTGGCAGCTACCTGAAGGTCATCCTTTGGTCCGTCTTCTGGGGAGTCCAGGTGTGCGTCTGTCTGTCGAGGGTCTTCATCGCCGCCCACTTTCCTCACCAGGTCGTTGCCGGAGTCATCACAGGTACGGTTCATTCATCAACTGAGGTTTTTAAGTTAGAAGGCATTGGTCCGGAGAATTTTCTCACATTTAAAAACATCCGTGCCATCACAGAGAGCCGCCAATGCCCGTTGAAATCTTAGGGAGAGCTCTTTTGCTTTGTTGTTGTCTCAAACGGCACATGATCCTCTCCATCATGGCTTAACGCTGGTTGCATTGTCGCCCACTACTTCCTGGAACACGTTCGTCTTTTTCCCCGCATCGCTTCCAGTAGATGCCAGGCAGAAAACCGAAGGTTTAGGGTTCGATACCGAGACTCCTTGAGTTGCTCCTGATGCTGCGTCAATCAGTCGGAGAATAAAGACAGTTTTTAAAGCACCTCCGAATCACTTAAAAATACAAAAGCACCCACTCCGAATTGAACGCTTGTAAGTCGGGGAGCGTCTGTCCATTCGATGCTTCTGACAGTAACCTCAATCGGACTCTCTCTGCCTCCCAGGCATGATTGTAGCCGAGGCCTTCAACAGAACGCAGTGGATCTACAGAGCCAGCATGAAGAAGTATTTCTACACAACTCTTTTCCTGACATCCTTCGCCGCGGGCTTCTACCTGCTTCTAAAAGCTGTGGGCGTAGACCTCCTGTGGACGCTGGAGAAGGCCCAGAGATGGTGCGCCAAGGCCGAATGGGTCCACTTGGACAGCACCCCGTTTGCCAGCCTCTTGCGCAACATGGGCACGCTGTTTGGTCTCGGCCTGGGCCTGCACTCGCCGCTGTACACTGAGAACAAGCGCAGTAGCAGTGCGGTGTCCCGCGCCGGCTGCGTTGTGGGCTCCCTGCTGCTGCTGCACCTCTTTGACTCCTTCAAGCCTCCCACGCACACCGCCGCCCTCTTCTACCTGCTCTCCTTCTGCAAGAGCGCCACTGTACCCGTGGCGACTGTCAGCATCATCCCCTACTTAGTGAACAGCGCACTGGGTCTGCACAGCAAAAAGGCCGCGTAAGCAAAGCACGACGCCATAAAAAGAGACTTCTGGAAATAGAACGCGCAGGGCGATCTCTTTCTTCCCTGAGTAGAGACTTGGTGCTAATTGCATTTATTTCAAAATTAAAAAAAAAAAAAAAGGTCGTTCGGCGAAGCCAACGAGAACAACAGGAAACTGTCACTGAACTTTGTGTGCGTGCAGATGACACTTCCCATGATGCTTTGAGGCACTTACGAATGTTGTAACAGACTTCAGTTGCTAAATATGCTGTGTTTATATTGTCGTGTTTTTGACTATTACAGAGAGTATTTTTAATTATTCTTAATAAAATCTTGAAAACAACGCCTGAGGGGGATTCTTGTACTTTCCCATGATGTCACCGAGTGGCACGAGGTACCCTGACAACATAAGCTATGGTCTCTGCAGCTCCTCATGGCGTTGCAAAATACAAAATCGCCTATTTGCATTTTTGTGGATTTTATCCAGCTATTCATGTATTTTTCTGCGCTTTCTGAGACACCCCGAGATGCCAAATGGCAGTTTCAAAGCTGTCGGAAATAGTAAAGTAGTAATTGGTGGCAATGAAGCACAGTATAGTTACAGTATACTTTATTTTTCTTTTTACACAAACCCCCAAAACATTCGCTAAGTGTTTTTCACGAATAATATCTTTACGGTGTCCTTTTTGAGTCATAAATCCGAGTGGTAGCCAAGTTGACCGACCTCAAAATCCATCAAAACATCCCTGGCCTTTAGCCCCGACTTCCTGCCATGACATCAGCGTGCACGTCGCCGCACACTTTGTGCAAGTCAGACAGTCAATATTTGCTTGTTTTTAGCTTTGCCAAATGAGTGACAAACACACGAGCAATCGCAATCAGTTGAGTCATGAGGCACGTTTGCGCATGTCAGTCAACCAGAGGTTACTATTTAATGATGGATGAAGAGATTATATATTTGAATTTGAAGTTGCTCTTGTATATGTGCAATGACAAACGAAATGCACTTACATTGAACATCATTTCACTTACCAGAGGCAGCACACTTTGTCAACCACGTTGTTGCAGGTGCACTTTATTCGTCATTTTCTCCAACAGTCTCATGACAAGATCCACCTTGGACCCTTTTTCATCCATGCCACAATGTCCAGAGTGCCCTGGCCTCCTGTATGTATTGTGAAAATGCAATGAAGTTGATATTGTTATTATAGCATCGCATTAACATTTCTTTCACCACAAATAAGTGGATTGTGGATATTTCATGTTCTTCTGCTTTTTTTTATGACTGCTATTACCTCATTCGACTGATTTTGTGCGAGACTAAGAGTAACTTAAAAGTAAATAGCAACTCATTACAAAGATATTAATATGTAAAGAAACGTACCTGTATTACTGTCAAATGCAAGTAACTAGTTACATGTTCTACATAACGCTTTGAAAGCAACTTGCCTAACATTGAAATGATTAGATTTGGGTCCACCCCAACGTTTAGCGACTTCTCAAGCTATGCTCTGCAGCCAGGTAAATACATGTCTGTTGGTATTGCTCATATGTATAAACTATATATTTAAAAAAAAAAAAGACAACTCACCGGCGTGACAGTGTCTGCAGCGTCCACGGTGTGTAGCACCTTTCAAGTTCAAGCAGCTGACCTAAATCACACCAGGAAGGAAGAGGGCGGGAGAAGTGTTTTGTTGATATTCGCTAGCTTGAAGCGGTAATAGCGTAACCCAGCCGCTGGGGGGCAGTGCCCTCCCCTGGGGGTGCACTGTTCCCCAGTGCCGGTCCCAAGCCCGGAGAAATGGGGAGGGTTGCGTCAGGAATGGCATCCGGTGTAAAACTTTTGCCAAGACGACCATGCGAGTTGGTAGGACAGTTTACAGGGGCGGATGGAAATTACTGACTCGCTGTGGCGACCCCTGAATAGGGACGTGCCGAAAGGAGAAGAAGAAGAAGAAGAAGCGGTAATAGCGTTGCCACTCTCCTTCTTTAGTGGAAATGTCCCTCGTGCAAAAGTAAAACACTCGCGCGCCCCCGGTGGTTGACGAGAGGCACTACACGGAAAGACCGAAACGTACAATGTTTAAGTGACTGCAGTTTAATTTCTATCCACTAGATGTCGACATTACGGTACAAAATCCCACTGCCCTTTTAATAGATAGACTGACAGATTGAATCTATAATGACCACAAATCCATGACATTGTGATTGGATTTACACCAAATGAGGAAGGGACAACTCGCAAACACGACAGGAGAGTGTTAAACGACTGTTTTTGACGTTTTGGTGTCCCCGAAGACATGTCCAATGAGCTAAAATGAGCATAAAAACATCAAGAGAGGTTTCCATTTGAACACAATTTATTTTTGTTCTGCTTAAATAACATCTCGGGTCATCCAGTGTTGGCTATGTTGGTGGTGGCATACATGTTGATTGATCAATCATTCGGGAAGGTTAAAGACGTTTTTCATATGCAATTAAAAAATAAGAATAAAAGCTTCACGCAGGAACATAAAAGATGAATTCTCTTTTTTTTTTTTGTTTAACAGTGTTAAAGTACCAGTAAAAAGACATTTGGAGTATGCAGGTACAAATGTGATTATCTCGTCTCGTGTTAATTAAATAAAAAATAATTCATATAGGGCAGCACAGTGAGACTAGTGGTATGCATGTCTGCCTCACAGTTCAGAGGTTCTGACTCCATTCTGTGTAGTTTGTATGTCCTTTCTCCCGCATTCCCAAAAACATGCATGTTAGCTTCATCGAGGACTTGAAATTGTCCATAGGAGTGAATGTGAGTGTGAATACTTGCCTATATGTGCCCTGCAACTGGCCAGCGAGGGGTCCATTGTGTACCCTGCCACTCGCACCACAAGTCTGCTGGGATAAGCTCCAGTTGCCCAAATGAGAACAAGCGCTATAAAAAATGGATGGCTGGAGAATCCAAACAATAAAAACAGTCCCGTCGGAAAAGCCTGGTGGTGTTTTTACGTGAAGCACAATCATGAAGCTTTGCATTATTATTATTATTATTATTATCATCATTATTCATGTTATTGCAAAGACAAAGTATGGGCTCGTTGTTGCAGCCTCTCCAAGTGTGTTCCGGTGCTTGGAATTATGCGAGGAAAAAGAATCGAAGCTGAATTAAAAAAAAAAAAAAAAAAAGTGGCGTCACATGCAATCCGCGCGCGCGCACACACACAGCAGAGAAGTCTCCTTCCCACACGCTTGTCGTTTTTCGTCAGGTCACAACATCCAATCGGTGCATAAACAGTTGTGAAGCGACTGATTGTTTCATCTGGTGACATTTAGGCATTTCTTTTTTTAATCTTAAAAAAAAGAATCAATCACCGCATGGTCAGCTTCCAGGAGGAAACGTGACCATATAAGGCGTCCCTCTAATCTGCGGGTCTCCTCGTGTGACGTCTGGTCACATCGAAGACGAGAGCATCTGTGAAGGTTCCGTTTGTAATCTCCCGACCAGCCGAAAAAAAAGTTTCTTCTGGTGTTTCGACATGCTTGCTCATGCCAAATGGAAGAAGTTACTTGCACGGGGATAAAAAAAAAACAAAATAAAACCGTTGCCATTGTTGTACGTGACTGGACGCCGCCCATTTGTCCGTTCTCCCGAGCTCGCGTGTGGTGGGTGAGTGGTGACGTCGCGGGTAGCGACCTGTAAATGATGAAGATCAAGAAAACACAAATAAGCCCTGCAAAGGATGCTGGGATTTGTTTTTCAATCCAAGATGGAAGGCATTCAAAATCCTATTTTCGATCAACATTCTTTGTAGAAATTCCACTCTTCAGTTGCACAAAGTAAAAATTATTAAAGGTTATTTTGAGAAAATTATTCAATCTCATATTTGAATATGAGTGCTGCCATTGCCTCGTCACTTATATTTGGCCAACCTACCAGGGTGCGTTGGGAGATGCTGCCGTTACGAGTGACTCTTCCTTCCCTGTTTGTTGTTCCCGTTTCCTGGCTGGGTAGCAGGAACCCGAAAAAAAAAGAAAGCGGAGAGAGAGAGAGATAGAGAGACACACACAAAACACAGCAGTTAGCATTGTTGTCTTGGTCAGGCTTGACGTAACCCCCCGCCCCCTCATGCAAGAGCACCTGTAAAACAGAACCAAACGCGCCCATTGTCGGCTAAATGGCGCTACTGACACAGCAAATTATATTAAAATCGTTAGTAGTACATTTCCCACATTACGTTACACGTTGGTTTCGTTTAGAGAGGAAAAAACACAACGGCAGCACTGCAGACACTCACTACTCAAACAAGAGCTGTTGTTGGTATCCGACACTATGACTTCCAGGAAGTTGAAGTGCGGAGACACTTTGATGCAAACGCGGAGGACAACACGAAAGCTAACTGAACATGTGCCATCAAAATTTTATCGAATGTCAAGTGAGGTTCATCTGCGAAGGTCGTCGAGCGTTTTAGGTCCATCCCGAAAGTTCACCCAAAAGCCCAACATCCCTAACATTGCGTTTGACGAACACAAAATGCACACACAAGCTACATCACGCAGTTCGACGACTACGGCAACCTTGTGTCCCTGCCGGGAGCGTTTGCCCCGCCTCTTGCCCTTCCCAACTCCCGCGCCGCCGCTCGGCGCGACGGCGACAACAGCGCCCGATTTCTCGCCGACCGCGTCCTTTCGCTCCGAGCCAACCACGCGTCGCACCACCTTTCTGATCACCTGCGTGAATAGACGGGAGGGTGACGACAGGGAGACCCCATGTGAGTGCGTGCGGAGTACAAAAATGATGTGGTTGGGTTACTTTTCGGGTGACCAGATTGCCGTCGCTGTCAGTGAACTGCTCCTCCGTCACAGACTCTCCGGGAACGTTACGGGCCTCCTCTCCCTGGAGGAGCCGGGTGGGAAGTATCAGAAAAGGGGTTCACCGTATGCATCAAGAATCTTAAGTCACCATGCCAACAAATATTTCTTTTTTACAAATGTTTGAAGGGGAAAAAAAATCCACAGCTATATTGTGAATTTTGTCAAAAAGTCCGATTTTCTGTTTTATGGTTTTCATCCACACACAAATGTTGGTTCTGGTCCTTGGAAAATTTCAACATTGCCTTTTTAACTAAATTGGTCTCACTGGCATCAAATAATGAGCCAGCGCATGTTTTTAAAGAGAATTGAACTATTGTTCAACAATGTACTTGGGAAGAACTTTGAACCAAAATTCTCCTCGTCGTCAACCGCAAGCAACAATCTCGTGGCGAAGTGAATCACGCCGCCAAAGGCAACCCCTCACGAGTTGTCGGCGCACTGCACTGCACTGCACACGTCGCACAGCAGAGGTCACACACCTTCAGTATGACCCGCCGGCAAAACACCCTTGTGGTCACAGTGGTCTCCTCCTCGGAAGTGGACTCTTCTTCCTCCAACTCTTCCTCCTCCTCCACCTCTTCCTCATCATCATCATCATCAAAGACACGCTCACACTGGACATTTTGCGCCCACTACAAGCGACATTTTCAAAGCATTCATGGGCGCTCCGCAACCCATAAGTAGCTCCCCCTCCCTCGGTGCGGCGGCGTTTCCTCACCTGGACTCTACGAGCCGACCGATCGCCTCCTTGCTCCTCCTCTTCCTCTTTCTTGCTGCTCGGAGGCGGCTGTTCCAACGAGTCTGCCAGACTATCGGGACTGAGAGAGAGCGACAGACGTACAGTACGGCGAGTGAAAGATTTGGAATGATGTGGAATACTACTGGTAAAAAATGTGCAATGAGTTGATGAAAAGTGATGAAGGAATCATTTTGGAATGAGGAAAAAAAACAACAACCGAAACCTCTCGATAGCATCCATTTTTGGTATGTGTTGAAATTGCAAAGATGTGAACACCGAGTTACCTGCCCTCCTCTGCAGCGGCGCCGAGTTCCACCGTGGCCTCATCTACAGCTGCCACTGCGTCGCCTCCTCTCCAGCCTGGAAGTGAGCACAATTCTTTTTCCGCCTGCCGCACTTGCTCTAGGATGGCATGCACCTTCTCCTCCGTCATCTCCTCGTCCTCCAGCCCTTCCTCCTCCAGTTTGATGTCCTCCAGGAGACTCTGCAGCCTCTCCTGGGTCATCTCATCCTCTTCCTCCTCCTCCTTTTCTTCTTTGAGGCGCCCTTCGTGCCTCTCGTAGGGGGCGTAAGCGCCCTCGAACATCGCTCGCCGATGGGCGGCCCTCCTGTCGTTGTCGGGCGACTCGCTGGCGTCCTCCGCGTGCACCAGGGGGGGCTCGCTAGGCCAGCTAGGGGAGTCTACTACGCCATCGCCGCTTTCGCGCAAAAAGTCGTCGGAGCGCAGCGGGGTGGGGGGAGTGCACTGGAGGTCAGGGGGGGTTCGCAGCTCCGCATCTATTTGGTGGTATCCTGCGTGGGTGGCAGGAGGACAGCAGGGTTAGCGCGGTGAGGGTCAGGGGGCGGGGTGGGGGGTACGCGGCGAGGGTCGGAAGAAGGGAAGAAAAGAGGGAGGAAAGAATGATCAAGGTCATGAAATGGTGGGGCGAAAGAGGCGGCGCTTGTGCAAAAGCCACACAAAGCACGTCGCAAGTCCGCTGGCAGAGCTGGGCAGATGTTGGACCACATTGGATTTTATTTTATTTATTTATTGAAGTGACAGATGAGATGATGAGGAATGAACAATACTACTACCTGTTCTGTTTGACGTCACATAGAAATAACATTTACCCCAACGCCCCAATAAAGATAAGTCAGAAAAACAGGACAGACATTGTTCATGTCGTAAAAGACAAACAGAAAAAAAACAACATTGCTTTTTTTTTAAAAAATAGATCATTTTAAATTGTATTATTTATATTTTATTTAATCGGAATTGATCAAAGAGTTATTTAGGAAAATAAAAAAGTACGATAAAATATTTATTTTTTTCTTTTATATAAGAGAAGCAATTATTTAGAGATAAATGAATTTAGTAAACAGATGGATGAATTTATTAGCCCACTATTTGTTTTGTTTTGTTTTGGAAGATAAAACGGGTTCCACAATTTGCACACAACGGCTTCATTCGCGTTACAGGTGGGTTAGCGGATCGGGTCACACGTTTAGATATAGACCTCGGGGACAGAATGGTCACGCCTGAAGTGAGCTGGCACGCCGGGAGGGAGGGGGGATGGTGGGGAGGAGGAAGAAGCGGGGAGAGGAGGAGGAGGAGGAGGAGAGAGGGAGGAGAAAGGGGAAGGAGGTGAAGGGTAGGTGGGGGATGAGGAGAAAGGAGGAGGAGGCGAGGGGAAGTAGAAGGCGGGAGGAGAGCAAGAGAAGGAGGAGGAGCAGACGAGGGGGCTGCGGGGCGAGGAGGGCAGCGGGGGCGAGTAGATATAGACCTCGGGGACAGAATGGTCACGCCTGAAGTGAGCTGGCACGCCGGGAGGGAGGGGGGATGGTGGGGAGGAGGAAGAAGCGGGGAGAGGAGGAGGAGGAGGAGGAGAGAGGGAGGAGAAAGGGGAAGGAGGTGAAGGGTAGGTGGGGGATGAGGAGAAAGGAGGAGGAGGCGAGGGGAAGTAGAAGGCGGGAGGAGAGCAAGAGAAGGAGGAGGAGCAGACGAGGGGGCTGCGGGGCGAGGAGGGCAGCGGGGGCGAGTACGAGAGCTCGTTCAGGTGGGGCAGGACCGGAGCAACGGGGAGGAGGTAGACGGGTGGGGAGGCGGGGGGCGAGGGGAAGCAGAAGACAGAGGGAGGAGACGGAGGGGAGGAGCTTTTGAAAGAGGCGGCGGGAGGGATATTTGGTGAGCAAGAAGGAATGGCGGGGATGTCGACGCGAGGCGTTTGGGGACACGGGGCGAGCACGGGAGATCTGAGCGCTTTTGGAGCTGATTTAAAGCGGCACACAAACATGACAAACAAAAATGGACAGAAAAAAAAAAGTACAGGAATGTTAAAATGATGATGAAATGACAGCAAACAAACAAGAAGTGACGGATGAACGCTCGATCGCGTGATCGCCGAGTCGTCAAAACGATTCGGGATCCAGGCGCTCATGTTCCCGAGAAGTTTGAGCAGGGGCAGAAAGGAGATTTTAGATATTCGAGTTGTTCTGAAATGCATATACGTTTTGCAAATCTGAACCTGAATTCAAGATCCATTTGTAGAATAATTTGGCAATTGATGACCTCGAATTGAGATAATTCTGCGGTGCACTGGAGACAATTGTGAGTGCAGTGCAGCGCAGTTGCATGGGAATTTATCTTACGGCGAGCAGGGAGATGGAGTGGGGGGGGGGGGCACCGACTCAGGGCTTCTCTGCAGGAGTTAGTCTGAGGAGGAGGAGGCGGGCCGGCCTCGGAGGGGATGAGGCTGGGAGGAAGCGAGGAGATGACGTCTTCACAAACTCTAAGGGGGTGAGGAAAAAAACGGCGACGCCTTTTTCGACGCGTGTCGGAAAAGGCGTCGGAGTTAGTCGGAGGAGTTAGTGCATGCCGTTAACTCATCACCGTCGCAACTCTGACCGCCGAGCTCCATGCGAGACCCGCGCTTCAGACCTCGTAAAAGTCATGTGACATGTCCCGATCCAAGGCAGTTGCTGAGTGGTGAAACGGGTCTGAAACGCGTCATCCGCGGGGTGTGTCGGCGGCAAAGAAGCGGCGACTGGCATTATGTTTATGGTCAAAGGGAAGAGAGAAAGCCAGAGGGGAAAATGCCGGCAAACTGATGATGTCTTTTGTCAAATAATGATCCAGTAAACCCCCATTTTTCACTCAACTGCTGTTCTGAAGAAAAATTTGTGAGGCGAGTTGATGAAACATTACGCACAAATCAGCAGGGGTTTACTGGATTAAAAACAACAACAACAAAAAAAAAAAAACGGCGTGTTTATAGAAGACCAAAGCATGCTCACCAATCCGAGAAACAAAGCAAACACAGCAAAAACATGCAACGATGCTTTTTTTTTTCATAATAATCATCCTTTGGGATGGTCTCAGTGCCGCATGGAAAAAAATGTTTCGTTACGCTTTGTATAAAATAGCAGACGATACAGGGTGGGCCAAAAGGGGGTAATGCAGTGTAATAAATGAAACTATTTTTACATGTCCATCTATTTTCGGCCCAACCTTTTGGATTCAATTTTCAAAAAGGGAAAATCTAAAATGTCTCTGGCCTTTTAAGGTCCATGTGAGGCCTTGCTGTTTGTTTGACTGGAGCGGCGGCTTAGGAGCGAACCTGGCGGCGTGATTGGCTCTGCTAGCGTGGTTCGAGCATGTCCGGCTGAGACAAACAGCGGGTGAGGAGCAGGTGAAGGAGAGAAAGGCGAGAGACTGAGGGCCTGATTTACTAAAGGTTTGAGCATGCAAAAACGGGCGTAACGGGCTGTTTGGGATCTTAGTAAATCAGGCCAGAAGAGAGTAAAGAGTGTAGGAGCTAGGGTGGACTACGATTTACCATCGGACTGATCCGGGAATACTGCGTTATCATCGGCAAAGCAGCGAGTGCCTGAAATGTTACCGTAGTCAAATATGGGCCCTTCCAGCAAAGTCACAATATCCAAGCGATTGATCTTATTCAGCACCGCCGTTAAAGTGTCCGCTGGAGAGAGGAGACAGATGATACGTGAGAACTTCTTTTTTGTGGTGACCCGACGACATTGTCGACAGCGCGCTTGTCTTACTTGTGGCGTTTTTACCGTCCCTCTGCACCCATTTCTTTAGCAGCATGAAGCTCTGCGCCGTCAAGGAGTTTGGGTTCTCCACTCGGATAGAGTTGATCTCCTCGACGGAGAATTCCAGCTCGCGGGCCAGCTCTGCACCACACGCAGCAAAATCGGTCAATCAATAAACTCAAATTAATTAGTAAAATAAATGAAGCGCCGAGCCCTAAAACAAACTGTTGAATTGATATTTGGGATGGTGATGAGCATTATTAAAGTCCTAAAGGGAGACACTGGATCTCATTCCATGGTTGACCACTTTTACAACGGCATATTCATAAAGCTCAAGTGTGTCTGTCGGGTGTGCAACGTAATGGTCTGTGCTCATCCGCCTGCAGTCAGCTCAACGGGGACTTAAATGAAAACCGGCAATAAATTCAAGGCGGAGAGAACATTGCGTTCACTTGTTGACTCCGGCACTGCCTCTGGTAGGCGCACATTAAATATGGATCAGAAGTGCTTGCCCGCCCACTGGCCAGATGGGCGCGCCACAGCGCCCCTGCCACAGTGCACACGCACACACATGCGCGCAAAGTGGGCGTGGGCCGATGCTGCAGTGCAGGTGGTCTGGCTTGTGCTGGGCTGCAGGGACCGCGCCCTGAATGCCTCGTGTGCAACATGGGAGTGGCACGATTCCATTTCTACACATTCAAACTCAACATTTGCATGTGTCCTGGCTCATCTGTCGATTTTAAAAATCCAATAAGGCATATGGACACAAAAGTTTGCCGGGTCATGATGGTGATGATCCTCACGTGATATGTTGATGACTGCTGTGACCATGCCACTGCAGCACATGGAGACTTTTTTTTTTTTTTAAGGACTCAAAGCATCCACCGGATGGCAGCAGACACCGCATAACCAATACTCTGAAAACGAGGGTCATGAGCGGACTCACCAGTCCAGCTGAGTCCCAGGTGGTCGGCGACTATGGCCATTCGGAGGTCCGTCCTCTCACATGGACTCTGAGGGCCTGAAACCGGGCAGTGCAACACACACACAAAAAAAAAATTGGAAATTGCATGATGGATAAACAAATATAATCAAGAGATCTGATCACTAAGAATGAGGTGAGACACAAGAGAGCTCGACAAATGAAAATGGGCCGTGTCTATTTTGCACTATGTCACTTATGTGAGAGATAATGTGATGCAAGTCAGTAGACTAACTTGAGCTCACTGTCTCAACTCTTCTGGCCAAACTATCCTCAATCGCTTTCAGTTCAAGAGTGGATAACCCTGTGATGTTTATTCTGATGCGTGACTGCATAATCCATGCAGACAACTGATCAGTGAGGCCAGAAAAGCGTTTTGGTTCTAATGTCAGTATTGTTAGTAGTTAAGGTTCACGTCACAAACCATCAGGCAACATTCCACCGGCTGACGAAAGCAACTCACCGCCGCCGCTTGACATCAGAAGGGGCCGGTCTGTACTCGCGAGGTCTGATTGTCAAGTTGGGTCAATGAATTGTTTTCTCAGCGTACCCAAAAGAGTACATACACCACCAAAGATCGTAATCCGTAACCTGGTGCTTTTGCTGTGCCGCCTACTCCAAGTGATGTCCCACTCTTCAAAAAAGTTTCGCTAATCCTGAGAGAGGCTTCTTAAGTTCTAGCAAACCGCGACTCAAGAGCCGGCATCAAATTAGAGCACCGGGGTCAGAACCTGATCGTCAATTTTTACTTGGTGTTTTTTTACCGCTGGTACTTTTAATGGGACTGAGAATGCTAGAACTGAAGAGGCCTTTCATGTCTGTCAGGCATATAAATAATATGTAAGAGTACCGACAAAAAGCACTCAAAACTTAAAAAGGAGTCAACACTTCCAGTGTAAACCTTTCGCTAATTCCAGACCACACCTGCTACTAAATATCAAAAACATCACAAAATCACCTCGGGCAGGCCTTAATCACACAACACAAGGATAACACAAACAAGTGACAGCTACACTTGACACCACAGAGCACCCACGACAACTACATGCATAAGAGAAGAAGATACAAAAGGTGTTTATAAAAAAAGTTTACAAACTAGTTGTGTTTGCGGTGACGGGAATCGTGATTGGTTGATCAACCTCACTCCCTTCCTCCTCCTGCTTCTCCCCCTCCGAGTGTCGGCCTACTCTTCCTTCCGGTTGGCTGCTCAACCTCAGTTCTCTCAGCGCTAGCAGACGGTGTGGATGTGGTGCCGATGGTGCTGGTGCAGGTGGAGCTAGCGGTGCGTGCGCAGCAGGAACGTCTTAGCTGGTTCTGAAAAGGACGCATCCCTGCAGCTCTCTTGGTCCTCAACAGGAGGTGCTGTCGCTTCTAACTTCAGCTCCCTTGGGAATGGTTCAGTCCAGAGGGTAAAGTGTATGTATGCCGACTGATGTACCTTGGTGTCACTTGCTCTACATATTGTGTGGCTTTTGGCTAAACTGTGTGTAAATATCACTTTTTGGATCGCTTGTGCTTTCAAAAGTGAGAGTCTCCAATTGAATTCTAAATGTAGAAGATCACTTCTCTCAGGGGTCCAAACCTGGACTTGCATATGTTGCATTCGACCTCTCTGGGCACTGTGCTTCTTATTGCTATAGGATTAAAAAAAAAAAAAGCCTTGCTGTTCTCTCGGTGACTAAACAAAGGTACCAACACTAAGAGTGTCATCTTAAATAAAATGCGAGCCACTGGTGTCACTGCAGGTGTTCAATGTTTGTGTGTTGGTCACTTCTGGAGAAGGTGCAGAGGAGCTATGAGATAAAGCGCTGCCCAAATCCTCAAAAGTTTCCAAAAGTGTGTCCAAAGGACTGATGGAATTTATAAAATAATCTGTGAGATAATGTGAACAATTTGCATAGTTTAGAATATCTAAATTTGAACCCGTAGCTAGATTAAAATCATCTAAAGTGGTTGGAAAGTCCGAACGACTATCAGACGTTTTATCAAACGAGCTTGATCCCGTTTTAAACGTGGTGAATTTGGTGTTGGCGGTTGTGTCTCTGCCAGCAGCGTTTGATATTTCTAGCTGTACCGTAGTCGCCTGTACAGGGACCAGAGGGACAACTACAGGGGTACACATGGGCTCTTGATCACTGTCGTCTACCTCCGTGTCCCTGACCCTGTACCTGCCCGCGGAGTAGGAATGCTCACCAATTTGAAAAAACTGGAGCCTCTCCTCCACCATGTCTCTCTTGCTCATGTCAATTGCACCACTGCGCGTCATCTCAAACATCTTTCCCTCGTGGAACGGGAAGGGGTTGGGCTCGCTCGTCGGCGTGCTATCGTCTGTCGGCGTGCGGGCAGGGGTGCTGTCGGGCGTTGTGGCCTGAGATTGCTCGTCGACTGCTAGTCCAAAAGGCTTTGGCTCACCATTGCTTGCCAGCGCCTCTCCCATGTCGACAATGTCTTCCTCAGCACCTTTACTGGGCCAGGGGTCAAAGTCCAACCCTTTAGTCGCAACAGTCTTAAAAGGAGAATTAAACTCCTCTTCCAATTTATAGCTAAAGTATGTATCTGAAAATCCCTCTTTTGCTGAGAGTTTTTGTCCATTCATTTCAACAGCGTCTTTTTGAGCGTCATTAGGTTTTCTAACATCTGATGGCATATCCTTCAAACATTCCTCGGGGGTTTTCTCCTCTTCGATAACTTCTAGTTTTGTTGGAGGAAATGAACGGTCTAAGGGCCTGAAAGTGTCCGTCGCCCAGACATCTCGTCTGCTGTCCAGGGAGCCTAACGATTTCAAGTCGGCTTGTTCGTACAGTCCATCATCCTCATCTTGGAGGTCGTAGCCATCAAGGGAGTCTATCTCTGTTGCGTCAGTGTCATGAGAAAATTCAGCTGTTGTGGCTAGCGAACAGTCTGTTATGGACTGGTCGTTTCCATTTTGTTCACATTCATCGTCCTCCCCCTTGCCATTGGAACCATTGGTTCCAACCAGAGGATCGTTGTCATTTCCGTTTTTGTCATGTTTTTTCATTTTGGCCTGATTTTCCTTCTCCTTCTTTTGGCCCTCCACTTCCCAAGGAGCTTTAAAAGTGAATTTCTTAGAGGGAATCGGGTGAAAGATTGACTCTTCATCATCGTCGTCCTCACCGTTGAACTGACTATCTTCCACCTCAGGCGGCACTGGCGAAGGGGGCTGAATACGTATTATTGGTTCAATCAGCAGCTTCTCCTGTTCTTCCTGTAAATTCACCTCCATCATTTCCATCTCAGTTTCTGACGAAGCGCAAGAACCTTTCTTGTCTGGATCAGAAGTTTCGGAGAGGTCCAAAGGAGGTGGAGGAGGAAATTCAATGTATGCAACGCCTTTGTCGATGGAGGCCTCCTGTCCAGTTTTATAATTATACCCGTTAGCTGTGCTTTCTTGCAGGATGGCACTGTTCTCTAATCTCTGATAGTTATCTGTCATAGTTTCCTGTATGTTAGCATTAGCGAGGTCTGCTTGGGCAACGTTGATGCTAGTTTTGATTTCAGATGTGGTCTCTTTCAAAGAGATGATGCCTCTTCCTTGGTCATCTTGTTCTAATTCCTCAGGTACCTCCATGATTGGGCTGGGTTTATCTGCTACCAACCCCATAAAGCCATCAGGGGTCTTTGCAGTGAGGTCATAGATGACCTCCTCGGAGCTGGGGGTCTCTGGTGTCAGGGGGCTTTTACCTGAGCTATCTATGAAAGAGATCTGTTCTAAGGTGTCATCATCTGGGCTGAGTGGACCAAGTCCAGAAACTGACTTCTGCTTGACAGCATGCAGCCCCCCTTTGGCCTCCCTTTCAGCCTGGCGGCCAACCTGTAGACTGACATAAACTGGTAACGTTTTAATGCCTTTGTAATTTTCTTTAGGTGCTGCGGTAGCCGGAGTCGTCATGACTTTTTCCAGAATATCCCTGGAACTGACCAAGTTATTCAAGTTTGAATCCTTTGGGGCGTTGTCAAGGATTTCAAACGTAACATTTTCATTTGTTTTGGTGGAGTTTGCCTCAAGGCTTTTACTTTTACATAATGTTGGAATCTGGGAGGGTTTTGTTAGTGGATGTTTCTTAGGGAGGTCATTATAAATCAATGTTGTTCTGAGAGGAATTTGAGATTCAGATTTTTTCCTTACGTTTTTATTCATAAGGTCATCACTGTCTATTCTTGAAACCTCTGTTGTGACTTTCTTTGTGACATGATGTTCATGAGCATCACTATCTTTCTCTGACAATGTTTTTTGTACTGACACGTTTGGGACATTTCTATTTGGAAACAGTTTGGGGGACTTGGGTGACATCAAAGCCACTTTAGTGCCATCTGTGTCTTCGTTATTATTTTGGGCTATTTCCCCCTGGGATGTTTCAGTAACTTTTGATGTTTTTCTATCAGCAAAAAACAGGTAAACCGGGAGTTTGCTCTCCTGTAATTTCTTTACAGAAGGTTTTGGTTGAACTGGAGGGGGTGTTTTGCTTGGTCTAGACTGAGGTTGTTTCTGAGCCTCAGATTCAAACTTCATCCTCACAGAAGAGGTTGATTTTATGTGTGAAGGAGAGGAGGGCTCAGACGCACAGGTCTTCGATTGTTGGCTTTTCTGAGGACTTCCTGGCAAGCTAGAGCTTTTCTTTTCATTAGGTAAAATGCTACCAAATGTTTTACCAACGGAAGGCTCCCTGAGTTTGGTTTTACTGAATGCCTCGTCCCCTGCCATAGTTTTTTGAGGGCTGCTGCATGCTGAGCTTGGCCAAGACCTCGGCTCTTTGAGTTCTCGTCGCATAGGCTTTCTTTCAGGTGACTGAAGTTCATCATTAAGCTTTTCTGTTTTATCACGGAAAAATTGAGAAACCTCAGAGAGTTTTTCTTCCGCTTCTTTTACAGTTTGATCCACCCTGTCCTCATAGAGGAGCTTGTCCCTGCTCCTGTCATGTTTATCCTCAGTAAATCTCATCCAGACTGCATGTTTGGGACTACCTTGTTCAGTTGAATAATGGAGCACTGTAACTTTATCAAACTGCGGTGATTCATCTCTATGCAAAAATGTTCCTGCTTTCGAGGACCCATCTTTGGACTTGGATATAAACTCCCTTTTAGGGCTATCTTGATGCTCAGAGGTTAGGTTCCTGTCAGTCTTCATTGCGGAATCTTCTGTGTCGGAATGACACGTTGAGGATGCTTCTAGTTTCTCGGAGAGGAGCATTTTTTCAGCAAACCCGTAGGACTCTCCTCTGATCTCTGATAGCTCATCATCATAGTATTCTATGGAATGCTGACTGAGCAGTTTTAGTGCTTTGTAGGAATCGTCAGCTATCAATTGAGCAGAGTTTGGCCGACTGTCCTCCTCCTGCGAAACTGGTGTGTTAACGCGAGATGTTTCCAGGAAAGGGGGCAGGTATTCTTCAGCAATCAGTTCCTCCTCTTCCTGCTGGCTCTCATCATAATCAAGCAGTTCCTTAATGGTCCGGTCCCCTTTATAGACATACAGCTCAGGGTGTTTCTTTGTTTCCTTGATATAAACCTCAGTCGGCTCTGCTGTGCTGTGGCCTTTCTCAATATGAACCTCAATTATCCGTTCTACTTTGGGTTTGCATTTTATGTCCCTGTTAAGAAATCTTGGTGACAGCTCGTCGCCTTTGACTGAGTCCTGGTTAGCTTTGTGTTCAAAAAGGCCTGCCAGGTCTTTGGACGGGTCCCTACCAGACTGGAAGGCTTTCATGATGTCTCGCACTGACACGGCTTCCTCAATCCCCTCTGCGGCGTCAGTGAGCTGAGGCTGATGATAGACCATTCTGGTCGTAGTGGTAATATGAGTCTCCTCTTTAAGACACATGCTCATTGAGTCCTCCTCTGGAACCATCATTTGGATGGAGGCGACTGAGCTTCCTGAAGCTGCACCTGACTCAGCAGAAGAAAGAGCAGAAGCAGCCTCGTCCATAAGGAGAGGCTCATCTGAGAGTCTCTGAACATGGACCTCCTCTAACCTGGTCTCAGACACACTGGGAGGGATGGGAGCATCAGTAAATAAAGGCTTGGGTTCTGTACTTTCTGCACTCTGGGGAGCAGATGGTGTCTTTTCACTCCTAGTCTCAAAGCCACTGTCAGACAGAGGACTCTTATCCTGCTCATGAGACAGCTCCTCTGGGGACTCGAGAATGGTGTCACCCCCCTGATAAGACTCAGCAAGTTTGCTAAGGTCCTTCTCGGATGGAGACCTGAGCATACCCGACACTGGTGGAGGCATTTTCAGTTTGTGCTCCTGTATTGTCATTGAAGGCTTCAGAATACGTTTTTGTTTCTCTTCCCCTTCCCCTTTCACCTCCTCGTATCTGCTTTTCAATTCTGCCATTTTGGAGAGGGAGCTAGCCCCAATATCGCTGGTTAAAAAGTCTACCACTTTAGCCAAATCAAGGTCATTGTTCGACTGGTGCTTAAGCAGATGTGAGCCCTCATCAAAGGGAGCGTGTTGGTCAGAGAGTGTGTTTCTTTGGGCCTCCTCAATCTCATCTGTGGAAAATTCCTCCCAGCCATCCTCTTCAACATTCTCTTTACTTTCATTCACAATGTCCTTCTGGAGTATCTCGCTCACCTTCACTAAATCTTCCTTCACTTTCTCAACAAGTGTGTATGGCTCATCGTCTTCTAACTTGGTCTCACGAGGAGTGCTGGTGCGTGACGTTTGGACCGTTTTAGCAGCCGTCTGTGTGTCTGTCTGTAAGATGGCTGTCATTCTCATCAGGTCTTCTTTCATGTCTGCTACATCTTTTAATATCTCCTGGTTGGAGGTGGTGGCGTGATGAATGATGGGTGGCGTGATGTAAGGAGGTGATTTCAACTGGGACTTAATTTTGGAGGCTGTAACACAGGAGGATAGGGATGGAGAGGGTGAGGTGTGATTGGAATCAGGAGGCACCATTTTGAGAGAGCCTGGCCCTGGTTTAACTGGGGTCTCTGGTATGACGCTGACCAATGAGTATACGGGTACAGTCACTGTATTTGAGGTAACTGCAGGCACTGAGGAGGGAGCAGCAGATCTCAGAGGACCGTAAGCAGAATTTCCTGGAGCAGATCTGAGAGAGGATGACAGTGATTTAAGCGTGCCATAGCCAGTTGCAGAATAGGAGTCAATGGCTTCATTTATGGCAGCACTGATGCCAGATGTGGCTGCCTGGGTGGTGGCTTGTATCCGCTCTTGAAGGCTTCTCTCTGACAGGAGTCGGGAAGAAGGTGAGGAGGGTGTAGATGACGACGACGCATATTTGACGGGTGAAACATTTCCGTTCACCATGGACAATTCTGATGACGCAATGGTTGTCTTCCCGGTCGAGGTCACCGATGACAAGGAGTTTTTTCCCACCCGAGCAGAGAGGCTTGAATCAGAAGAGGTCTTCAAAGAGGGCAGGGTGGAGAGGCTTTTAGCAGAGGGAGGATTTGGAGCTCCTGTGTCTATCTTAAAAGACATACTAGAACTGTAGATGCTGTATGGTTTCTTTGGTGAGATTGGAGCAGCTGTGGACTTATCTGGTATGTAACCATTGGGTAGAGAGTGAACTGGAGAGGTCCTTGATGTGTAGGGTGAAGAAAGACTTTTGATAGAAGCAGGATCTGTGGCAGGTTTACATGGAACTCGAGAGGACACTAAGCCGGCGGAGGCCTGGACAGGATAGTGAGCCTGCTGGACAACTGTTTTAATGGGTGATGGTATAGTCCTGTAAGACCTCACCGGGGACGAGGGGAGTATGTCGGGGGATGCCGGATTGGGTGCTTGCAATGGAGCTCCCATGCTGGCTCTAATTGGAGAAGAACATGCAGGTGATGGGGTGAAGGGCCAGGCAGATTTCAGTGGAGAAGCAGCTGCTGAGCTGGCCGATGAATCGGCAACGATGACGGAACCGCCCACTCCGCCGAGCTTTGCTTGGCCAGGGAGGGTAAGAGGAGCAGTCGACCATGAGGCGTAAGGTCTGGTTGGAAAGACAGGTTTGTGAGGGTGACCAGCAGGCAGTGCTCTTGTGGCTGGTGTGCTTCGCTCAACTGCTGTTTCTTCAGCGGAATTTGGAGAAACAATGATGGAGAAGTAATGGGAAAAGAAATCAAAAGGATGTGTAATAGTCAACAAAAATGTGTAAATAAAAGATGATGCGGAAGAAGAAGAGATCAGAGGAGGGAGAGTTGGTCAGTGAAATATTTGTTATTAAAGGAACAACAAACAGCAGTTTCTTGAAGTGCTGAGATATTCAAGTGTTCTCTTGAACACTGACAACCACAAATAAATTGATGATTAAAATCGAAGCCCAAAAAGCAGCAAAGAAAAAAAAACAAAACAAACAAAGACAATGGCACTGAATTGGCAACGGAAAAATGGCAGGACAAATGCACCAGGATTATTTCAAAAGCAGCTCCTCATGAAATGTTCTCAAAGCAGCAAATGGATTCTGCATCTAGTTTCAAACCACTTTGAAAGTGCCTTTTATCTGTTTGGTCCCAATGTTATACATGGCCCTTAATGTCAGGCCACACAAGCCCTTTGCCTTTTTTTAATGACAAAATGTGTCCTCCAACACTGACGTTTGGTCCATTTTGTCATGCACAGTCCAGAAAAAGATGGTGACAAGCGTACACTACAGAAAGAAAACACCAGCCAAAATCAAGACCTCCGAACATGCACGGCTGTTCCACAAAACAACAACTGCCACTTCACCAGAGAAAGCTAAAAAAGTCAAGATGGGACAAATGAAAAGCAAAGCAAATCTTTCTTTGACCACCTCTGTCAGAATACCTGAAACGTTGTGACAGTTGGACATTCAAAGAAAGATTCTGATGTTGATTATTAAAACAATCAGAGCCAGAAGAACAAGAACTCAAAACAACGTGGGCAAGCACTGCACAACAGTTCCAAAACCATTCGTGAAAAGAAAAAAAAAAAGAAAAAGATGTACCATGTCGTAAACAAGCATGTGGACAGTGCGTGTGTCAGGATGAGAAATGTTAATTTACTACAACGCCTTGGACAAATGAATCATGAAAATCATCACGAGCGTTTTTTTTATTGAAGGGTTTCTTTTGTTGTTGTTAGTGAAAAGGACAAAACTCACTCAGTGCAGGCTCGGCCAGATAGCTGTAGCGCTTACGTAAGGCTAGCGATGCAAAGGTATGACGTCGCTCGGGCTTTTCAGTCTGCAACAATAGCAAACAACACAAGTTGGCTATCAGGTGAGCGCAGCTTTAAAAATCTTACGCTGCAGCCAATTGGAGCAGGATCTGGACTTTAAAAACACACTCTTATTGAACAGCTAATTTCCGGATATTTCCAATGCTGTTTTTGAGACAAAACAGGTTTCATGTTGAACCACTTTCAAAGTCCGTAATCTTAAAGGTATTACATTGGATTAAAAAGCAAGTGTCTATATGATATCATGCAAAAGTCAGCACTTGGACAAGGGAAAGTTTTACATTTCCCTTGTGGCAGCGGCGAGAGTAAGCCTACGCTAAGCAGATCTAGCAGAGGGGAGCGCATGGTGGGGGGAGGGGGTGTAGTTTACCTCATCCTCGGCATCTGACTCCATTTCCTGGTTCCCAAGATGCATTGCAGAAACGGGCGGGGGGGCAAGGGTGAAGAGTTACATAATGGAAAGCAGGAAAGGAGAGGGGGGGAAGAAACATCAGGGTGTGAAAAAAAAGAGAGCGATTTACAGAAGCTCCAGAAGCCTCTGTGGCAAATGCAGCAAAGAAAAAGTCAACAAACCAACAGTAAATCAAAAAGCACCATGATAAAAATGTAAGATCATCGAGTCAAGCCACAAAAAAAAAAAAGAAAGCCAGCCAAATAGCATCCAAATGAAAAAGAAACAGCCAATGTCAAGCAACCACAGCGTACAATAAAGAACCAATCGACACTGAGAGAAGCCTGAAACAGATAAAAGACACGCTTTGGGACAAGTCTTCCCTCAGACTTTTAGCCTAGCGCTGCTACTTCCCTGACGGTGAGGATGATCATGGAAGTGATGACACAAAATGGCCACTTGGGCCTTACCTTTTTGGCTGCGGGGAGCGTGATGTTCAAGTTGCACACAGCCGTTTGTGGCAGGCCTTTGGTGCTCTTGCACTCTTTGAGGAAGGTGAGACGGCCGCACGGCTCCTGGCTGGGGTCTCGTACCTGCGGTTGGGGGGGTATTGGCTTCTTTATGTACCTCTTGCCATTACGGCTAAATTTGAGCAATGTCTTGATCCGAATTGCTTTTAATTCAGTTGGACTCTTAGTAAGCCTAAACAGTACAGTGAATGTACGCATCGACTTCCATCCATTCTCCACTTATCCGGGGTCGGGGGACAACACCGGGGGCAACAGCTTTAGTGCGCGCGCGCGTGCGCGCGTGTGTGTGTGTGTGTGTTTTTTTTTTACTTTTCCTATGTCCTGCCTTGCATGTCCCAATTAGCGCAATTGTAATGAACTGGCTCACACACAGGAAGAGGGGTTTAACCAAGCAGTAAACCATGAGGATTGATTGTAGAGATCGTGGTTCGAGGTTAGCGGGTCGATCGATGACAGAGGCAACTAGGTTACTGCCTGTGAATGGAGTCCTTTCTTTAAAAAAAAAAAAAAAAAATGGAGTGGTGTGTCTTCAGTACCTTGACGCAGAAGGGCAAGCGGTTTTCCTTGAAGGCGTAGAAGTTGAGCACTAACTGCTGACCGCTTTTGGTCAAGGGAGCCAAGTTTCCATAGCAATCCACATAAATGGGCCGACCCTCGAGGACCTGAACATACACAAACCAGTCAAAACCATCACTATAATAATTTAAACACCGCATATGTTAATCATGTCACCAGGTCTGGACCCTGAATATCAAGTCTGCGACCTTGATTACAAATAAGTACCTCGATGTCTTTGCTCCTGGCCACCTCCTCAAAGTTCTCCTGCTGCTCAAGGGTCTTGTCCACCTTGTCGTCAGTCATACAGAAGCACCTCAACCTGGACTCCACCTGGTCGTTCATCTTGGCGAACACCACAAACTTGGCCATGTAGGGCACACAGATCAGCTCCCTGTACAGCTGCGAGGCCAAACCCACCGTCTCTGGGATTTGGTGGCAGTCAGCCAGCCAGAACCTGCTCAGAAACACCCAATAAGGATGCAAGGCGCAACACTTGACGTGCCAGAAGAAGCCCGACTCCTCACCGTGCTGAAACGTTGGTTGTGAAAGATACGCAGTCGTTGACGAAAGTGAGCGGAGTCGTACCCGTGATGTCTTCCCACTGTGCTGCCGATGTACCACCTGCCAAACAATACAAGGGAAGGATTTAATCTTCTGTCTTGGTGGGTTTTTTTTTCTTAGATACACTGTCTGAGGTAGTGGAATGTAAGAGTTTTTTTTTTTTTTTTTTTGCAGTTTCCCCACGCTAATGTTTGGGATAAGGACAAATATGTTTTTTTCGCGGCCCATCTTATAAAATTGTGGTGACCGAGTCGTGCTAACAATACCACTTCACCTGTGATGCTGCAGAGAAGGCGGAGACAGGGCGTGCAGTCTCCTTTGTAGCCGTTGGAAAGCCCCTCGCCCGAGAGCGGCGGGACTGGGATTGTCATCGTTATGGGCTTGTGAAACTTCCTCCGTCTGGGCTCCACTGTCACAATGGGGCTGAAGGTTGCACGGTTTCCTAAGATCTTTTTCACGGTTTCGTCGGGTACCGGCTGGGCCTTGAGAGGCCGGAAGAAAGTGGTCAGGGTCTTTTTTTCTTTAATTTCACAGAAAACTACTGTAGCACACCATAGTGAAGCTTTCAAGCGTAGCTTGTAAAGTCGCATAAAAACACTTCTCGCTGTACTCACTTGCAGCCCAACCTTGATCTTTTTGGTAAGCGCACCCTCTGGAAAAGAGGCCTGAACCAATGGGACGCTCCGGCTGCACAGAGTCCCGCCCTCAGGTCCCATCTGGTGAGTTTCCTGCCTGATGCGAGACACCACGGCAAAGTACTGAGGGAAATCTTTGGTGATGATGCGGCAAATCCTCTTCCTCTGCAACTCCTCGGCATTGTCCAGTTCTGCGAGGGTGTCAAATACATGATATTAGATGAAGTGACATTTATTGAGAAATTTGACATTCAAAGCGGGCCTTTACCTTCATCCATGCCGTTGAGGAGCTGACGCAGCTCCTCGGTCTTGCAGTCATACAGATGCTCCTTCCAGGTTTCTCCATTCTCGCTTCGCAGGAGGATCAGCTCACGCTCTTGCCCCCGCATGGAGCCAAAATGGGGGATCTCCACAATCACGGGCCTGGTAGGGAACAAATCATAGATTGAGGCAAGCGGCATTCAAAAAAAAAGATCGAAAAGTTGACCCAAGTTGTTGCTCTACCATCTAGACCAGTGATGGGCAACTCCGGTCCTTGAGGGCCACCTCTCCTGCATGTTTGAGATGATTCACTTCCCTGACACATCTGATTCAAATGATCATTTCATCTGCAAGCTCTTCAGAAGCCTGAGAACGATGCTGATCATTTGAGTTAGCTGCGCGGCAGGAGGGGAAACATCTAAAACATGCAGAATAGCGGTCACCCACCCCGATCTAGATGTGTCACACAGACTAGAGAACTAGAGAGAGTGCAGGTGTGAATGGATTGTGGTTCTGCCAAGTGTTTAAGCCACGTTTCCACCAAGCGCAACAGTTCAGTGGACACATCTAAAGCACAGCAACGTACTGTTACCCTAATGGAAGGGTGCAAAAATTAGCAACGTAACAAGATTTCCTAAAAAAAAAAAAAAGAATAGTCCAGTTGTGATGGCCACTTCAGTCCAAGTATAGCGCTCCACGAATTTAGAAAATCAGATAAATTAGTTTTTTGTGTTGGCAAGAAAAATAAAATAAAATTTAAATCATCCTTTTGGGGGTATGTCACTGTAGAAAATCTAGTCAAAAACAGCTTCAAATTAGAAAAAAAAATCAATAAAACAGTATGACTAATAAGATTGTAGAGGCTGGAATTTTTAGGAGTTCTCCATGCGGATGAGTCAAAGTTACCGTGATGTCACCTGCACTGAAAACTGGACATACTGGATATAGCGCAAATGGAACAGTTTTCATGAGAACAGCAGCGTGGGCAGAAGAAAAAGTCATGTACTATTTTTCCTGAATTTGTCATGGAAGATATTCAAGCCCTTTGAAGCGCTCCTTCCATGCGATTTTTTTTTTTTTAATTCCACAAAGCTGACCGACATTTGTCACGTTGCTATTTTGATACCCCTCACCCCCTTTTTTTTTTTTAAATGGAAACTCCCAACAACAGAAGCCGTTTGGCAGAAACGGGGCTTGACAGTCGTTCAATGGCACATTGAGGATGTCTGAAGCTGGACGGAGATAAGGAAGGTCGAGGAAGAAACCTTTAAGAAGCAAAGCGCACAACAGCACAAGACGAGCAAGAAACCACTAGATGACAACTTCACGGGGAGAAACAGAAGAGCAGTGGCCACTAGTGGGTTCTTTGATCTTCTCTTTGGTAAATTGCCCCAAAGAATGTAATCATTTACTTTATATGTGTATTAGTTATGTGGGGTGAGGCCTTAGTCACATTGCAATCTGATGTTTTTTTTTTTCCTTTAAATCCAAAGAATTCACACAGGAAGTGGACATTGTCGACACTGATCACAAGCTCACTGTTCCTTGATGGAAAAACCATCCAAAGAGTCAAGCCGCTCCTTGAAACAAAAGTCACATGCCCAAATAAACAAAGCAGTCCAGCCCAAAACAAGCCAACCGAGACCAGTGATGTCATTGGCCTCGCCAAAAGAAAAACAACGCCCTGGAGATGAAAGTAGTCAAAGTAACTGGATGGATTCCAAGCTACAAGATGTAGTTTCAGGAAGAATGTACAATTTGATAAGAGCTGTATATGGACAAATTAATGCAAGTTTAACCAATACCTTTGTCCATACGGTGTACTGCATACACAATTCACAAAAAGTTAGGGAGAGTCGGCTTTCGGGGAACATTTTAAATCCAAAATGCACTATGACATGTTTAGGTGAACTTCACGTGAGCTTCTCTAAACTTATTCAACATGCTATTCCCATTTTGTAAATCACGAGACCAAGACAGCAGCTAAAAATTGATCAGCAGGACCTCGCCGCTGCAAGGTTTCAAACACATTCTCAGAACGAAGTGGCCACTGAGCTTAGCGTGTCATCAGTAGGTTGCAACAGAGACTGGTAGACTCACAGAAAGGAATAGAAATGGACTTCCTTGACACTGTTGTTAATTTTGCTGTTCATTCGTCTCTGTTAAGACGAGCAAATTGTCCAAAAAGTATTGAAATATTCAGCAGTTGGACATTCAGAAGTTTTGAGACGGTCCAATTAGGTAAGTATGGAGAGCATCTTTTTGTGAGTAGTTTATATTCTGTCTCAATCACCAAATTCTTCCCAAAACTACACGCTGACCCGATAGCATGGTGTCATGTTTGAACTGAAATTCAAGGCAGATGTGTGGAACAATCATCATGAGGCATCAGCCTGCTGTGTTGGGACTGGGGTGGCGGGCATAGGGAAGAGCAGAGAATTATTGGAGAACGGATGCTATGGTTTTTTGTTTTTTTTCTCTCCATGTTCCTACCCAACAAATCTAGTTCCTCGGGGTCCCAGCTGGAGCACTGCGCTAACCAGGCTCTCGCCTTCATTAAGAGCCGGTGGCATTCTGGGGAGATGTAGCTTACTGCGGCTCACACACACACACGCGCGCACACACACACACACACAAGACACACGCAACACACCCCGAGTGAGGTCAATGAACGGAGACTTTAATGAAATGTAACTTTGGTTGGTGGGAAGGAAGTTTTGCACTTTGCTGGCACAAAATTCCAGCTGATGTCCAAAGTGGCAAAATGGTGAGAAGGTGGCGCGACGTTGGTTTGTGACACATTGCTGTCAATCATCTATCCCAGATGACCGTGTGCCAAAGGAAGACGACATGTTGGATTGGTTGCCCGTCCATCGCCGGGCTGCTGTCTCATAACTTTTTCGTTATGAGTTGAGGCAGGGTTTTGGGTTTAAGATTTCAAGTTTGGGTATCAATGGATCGGTTCAAGACAGAGATTTGGGTTCAAATTTAAGTATTCAGGCCAGGGGAAGGGTTTCAGAGTTTCATTGCCGGTCTCAAGGGTATTTTTTTCTAATTTAGAGTTTGGAGTTCGTCTTAGGTTTCATTTAGGGTTTCAAGTGATTTTTTTTCCCCCCAGCACCAAATAAAAATGTCAAATCAAGCTTTTCCTAAATGATAACATTTCACGATAAAAGAAATGGGCTTTGTTTGGACTCTTTCCTTGGGCAAGTGCAGATGTGTAGAGGGGATGCGTGTCTTTAAAAGTTTGGAGACAAAATACAGAGTAGAGTGGCCACGCGGATGGCTGGAAATGGCAGCGGGCAGAAAGCAAAAGTGCAGAAAAGCTGCTTAGCAAAGCTTTCGGGGAAAAAAAACAAAAATAAAAATCAAGCGGTCTCACCCCAGGAAGTGTGCTCCTGCCGGGCCCACCTCCACCAGCCGGCTGGCCAGACCTTCACCCTCCACCATGGGAGGCGGCGACGCCAGCTTGTGTCGCTTGACCAGGCGGCACGTGATGCGCGTGGGCGCTGTGCACTTCCTGGGCGGGATGATGATGCGCATGCCGTTGTGGCGGCTGCCCCGCATGGATCCGCCGCGGGCGTCCACCATGAAGCTCACCAGGAACCTGAAGAAAAGGAGGAGGAAGAGGAGGACGATGAGGAGGACACAGAACAGGGAGTCAGGAGCATTCTGGAGGCAGTGAAAACGTCTGTTTGGATAGCCTTGATAGTTTGCGGGGGAGTAGAGCCAAACCAGAATGCTCCGACGTCTGCAGCACTTCAACAACAGGACAGGCTGAAGTTTGTTTGGGGTTGAGGGTGTGCTGTGGTGATGCGTGCAATTGTCTTCAAGTGTATTTTGGGCAAACTCCATCCATTTTCTATACCCCTCGACTAACCTGGGGTGCACCCTGGACTGCTTGCCAACCAATCGCAGGAGACACACGCACGCGCGCACACACAAACACAATCACGGACACTATCCAAGTTGTGTCCAAAAGGTGTTAGTAGAGGAAAAAAACACACCGTGCATTAGAGTAATTTCATTCAGTGTATGTACAGCAAGGTGTTATGAACGTGGCCACAAAGAGGACAGCAACCCGCTGGGATCTGTCCTCCAAATACACGATCACAAAAACTCCACCACAAGTCTGGAAGGACACATTCGATGTAGGAGGGGAACAAACAGCAGCTGCTGTGAGTGGACAAAGGGAGGAGGGGTGGGTTGGGAGTGCGTGAGCGGAAACGACAAAATCCGGGTCGCGGGGGAGGCGGCCGGCAACAATGGGGACGAATCAATCCAATCAATCAATCAATCACAGCCAGTTAGTCAGTCGTCACCTGCTGTCGTACTGCGGGAGCGGAGAGGAAAAACTGCGGGATGGATGACAACAGAGCTCCATCACACAAACTAAACTTACTAGTGATGTTGCACATTACTAAAAAGAAGATTGTTGAGACTGCAATTTCTTAAATAGAAGAAAAAATGTGGCAACCCCCCCAAAAAAAGACGTTTTACATTTATTGGTGAATCCTCGACTATCAATTGCATGTTTTATGTTTCGTTTTAAATGTCACTTAATGTGTTATTAAATTACATTTGATGGTCGTTATTTTTACAATCTTAGAATTTACTGGATGTCAGAAAAGTGTAGAGCTAAAAAAAAAAAAAAAAGTTTTTTAAATCCCCCATCATAAGCGCTCACTTACCCGGAGTGGACTGGGGAGGAAACGAGGTTGACGTTGTCCATTGCATCTGGTGTCCAGCTGTACCTCCTCAGTGAGTCGTTGTCGCAGTCTTATGTGTTATTAAATTAAATTTGATGGTCATTTTTACATTCTTAGAATTTACTGGATGTCAGAAAAGTGCAGAGCTAAAAAAAAAAAGTTTTTTAAATCCCCCATCATAAGCGCTCACTTACCCGGAGTGGACTGGGGAGGAAACGAGGTTGACGTTGTCCATTGCATCTGGTGTCCAGCTGTATCTCCTCAGCGAGTCGTTGTCGCAGTCTTTGGCCCCCGCCAAGTGCTGCCCAGACAACACGGTAAGGTTACATCCAAGAGAGTTTCTTTACTAACATTAAAAGATGACATCACAGTGCCAAAAAGTCATGTGCTAAATGTCAAAGTGAAGAGAATGAATGGCATGATGTCTTGTAACGTATGTCGGGATGTCTTTGCAACAATGCAACAAGGTTCCGTGGGTGACAAACTGTGATGCAAAAGGAACGTAACAAGGCAACTTAACATGAATAAAGCGAGTCACCGTACGTTGACATCTACCTTGTTGTGTTGTTCTACAGTGAAAGACCTTTCCTTACAGAGCATCTGCGGCAGCGTGGGAGCAGACAGGAAGTTAGTCCTTATGTTCATTCATCGAGCTAAAATGTTCACCGACGCGCTATCGTGAACAAAATATTGCCTTTGTCACATGGACACACAGCAATGCAAAATATGGTCGCACGACCTTGTCGTGATGGATGGCAGAATTGACCGCTAATTACATTTCCTCTTTCCTCCAAGCTGTGATGAGATCGTGATCGGTTGCTTTCGGAACATGTGGGGGTTGAATGATTGGCAAAATGTTCATTCATCGAGCTAAAATGTTCACCGACGGGTTATCATGAACAAAATATTGCCTTTGTCACATAGACACACAGCAATGCAAAATATGGTCGCACGACCTTGACCGCTAATCACATTTCCTCTTTCCTACAAGCTATGATGAGATTGTGATCAGTTGCTTTCGGAACATGTGGGGGTTGAATGATTGGCAACCACCCCTCAATAAATGACAAAAGTCCGTACCATGTCCTTGCAGGGCGCCAGCATCTCTTCGATCATCATGCTGTCCCTCGTGAAGGAGCTGCGGTTGAGCGTGTTGGACCTGTCAGAACTGAAGGAACGCAGGGGGGACCATGGTAAAAAAGGGATGGTGAAAGTGAACAGAAAGTGGGGGGAAAAAAGGTCACATTAAATGCATGCAGCTTCCAGGAACCAGAACCATCACATTTGTTGGATTTTCATCCAGTTTCAAACAACTACATTCACTGGGATTACTCAGAGTACCTTCCGACAAAAACTACAAGACATTTGAATTAAAAAAAAAAAAAAAAAGAAAAAAAAAAAACAACTAACGGAGGTTTTCAAGACCCCCCCACGCATCACGGAGAGCTATAAAAATTCACTTAAAAGGGGCTACTTGTGTGATCAATTGTTGCACACTTTTCTCTCGCTTAAATGAAATGATGCAGTTTATGAAATATAAGAAGATGAGAGACATCATATGGATGAATATATCATATTGATACATTCTTGTGCGATGACATATTCCCCCCGTTTCTTTCGACAGGCCAAATGATTCAGCAAAACCACAGCTGCTGCGGCTGCTGTTGTCGCCATGGCAGTGTGAACGGGAGGCAACCCCAACTTCATATTTATGGCATACACATTCACCCATACTATTTTCTGTCACTAAAATGTCGAGTCCGCGCCTGCCAGACATTTCATTAAATACCGCAGAAATGTTGCAAATATTTTGTCCCACTTATGGAGCAGACCACCACCAGACATCCACAACAACAAAAACATTATTAATACTTGATCATTACCAGAATTTGTAATTCAGCTCCTTTACAATAAAATGTATATACACGTACACTAGTCATAAAAAAATTAGGGATATCGGAAATTCAGATGTAAAAAGTAATTCCAGGATGAATTTAAAATGTCACAGTTTCAAGTACAAGTGAACCTAATTTGACCTTCTCTAAACTTCATTTGAGCCGGGCCAGGGTAATTTCATTCAACTCTGCCAGGCGAACAAACACGTTCCAAAGCAAGACTTTAATACGGAGGTGGGGACGGCCAAAATCCCACAGCTGACTAAATCTGGGGCAAACAAATATGCCGGCAACAAAAATATAGCCTAATGGTTCTCATGCATGTTAGGTTCATCCCGAAATTCAATAAATAAATCAAAGTACATGAATTACATTTATCTAATGACACTTTGCATGAAATTATAAAGCGTCTTGACGCAATAGGTTCGGGTCCCCGGAAGCTCGACGAGGGAAAAAAAAAAAGCACAAAAATCACAACAAACAACATTATCATGACCACCACCAACAACAACATACATGAAGATGGCACACACAACAACACAGCTACAAATCAAGTTAGCCAATCAAACGTACATGTGGAAGTTACAATTTCATCTAGCTTGAGTGGTTAGAAGGGGGTTTTGGGTTGGGGGGTGGGGGTATATGGAGGTTTGGAGGGGGCCTCAGCAGCATGCCATCAGCCTTACCTGACTTTGGGACTAAGACACAGAGCGCACACGAGGGAGAGAACACAAAATCATGAGCCACGATGCAGGATGGATCAGGATGATGCCATAGAGACACACACACACACGCTCGTGTTGCATTCAGGAAGTGGGAAATTTCCAATCGCCGATAAAGGCTGAAAAACCTTTGGCAACACATGACCTTGGGAGCTTTTTTTTTTTTCCTCAAAATAAATTGATAAAATAACACATTTTCCGACTGTTTTTTTATCACTTGGCCCAATTTATGTCCATATTTTCCGATAACTGAACGACAAGTGTGCGCACGTGTGCTGAGGGGCATGTCATCGAACATGTTTCTCATTTCATGAGGCATGTCAAAAAGTGTGTCGCTGCTCAGACATTCAGCGACGCACCATTCCAGCGACCTCTCCCACCTCGTCCATTCAGTGTTGCAGAAATGTCAATATTTTGGCAGTGAAATGCATTTGACCTTTGAAATCTATGCGGTGGATCCACGAGTGAACGCGGCGACTTATCATCACTTCTGGATGGTATCAGGCAGACTTTGTGGTTTTTTGTTTTGTTTTGTTTTGTTTTTGGTAAATGGTGATATCTCTGTGGGCAGTGCACGACACCGAAGATGCACTTCAACTATGGAAGCCCTGAAAAATAATTTGCCAAGTAAAAATAACATGCCAACTAGAACTGCTCGATGTGTTTTAAGTAGCAATTGTTTTTGGATGCTACTTTCTTTTAGGCCAATTACAGCATTTGAAATCTACAACTACAGACTCTTCTTGGTAAAGGCTTGGCAGAGGCGTGTGTGCTCTCGGGGTCGCACGCGTGCACCTAATTAAGTGTCTCAGCCGGCGGCGTCTCACCTCTGCGAACGTGCACCCACGCTGAAGCCCATGTAACCCTCCTGCGGTAGCGAGTCGTCGCCCAGTTCCCGCAGGTCCTGGGGCGCTAGGTACTTGTCCGTGTCTCCCGTCATGGCGTCGTCGCCTGGGGTCCGCCAAAAAAAAAAAAACACACACAGGAGATGAGGACAGTTTTATGTGCAGGGATGACGCATAAAAGAAGCACATGCTCAAGACCTGCAGAAGTCCAAATCGTCACGGCAACCAAACAGCAAACATCAGTCGAGGCATATTGAAAATAAAGACGTAAAAAGAGACGGTTAGAAGTGGACTTGTTGCTTTGCAAGCTCGTACTGATGAGCTTTGAAGAGGAGCTGGAAAGCGGAGTAGGCAACAAGTGCACGCAGGCCGGTGAAAGAGAATGAAGAGGGGGGTGGGGGGGGCATTCCAGCAGGACACCCCTGCCCCTAGCCCCCCCCTCCCCCCCCCCGCCATTCCCTGTCACCCCCCCTCCCCCAGCCTAAACTTTCACAGACCCCATCTGGTGACATTCCAAGCCTTTCTTTTGGGGATCTACCATGACTCACCTCTGCCTTGCAAGCACTTCATTCAGCGCTTTTCTTC